TAATAGTATTAAATGATTTTATTAATCCAATAAATGTTTTATCACGCTTCTTCCTATGCCAAACAACACAAGAGGGACAAGGATAAAAGACTTAGCGATCTATTTCCAATAGAATTTCATTAATTGAATTGCATCTGTAACGTGGTCTATGGTTGTTCATATGGGCTGAGGAATTTGACATCTAAAATTGTGCTGCAACCTATATGAGTACATGCGTTCCACGTGTTTGATGTTCGTACACTGCTCCGTATATACGGGGATCCATATAACCACGATAAAGTTTATTGGTAATGTAAATTAGGCTGGGGAAATGGTAGGGCACGTATGGAATGTGCCTCGGCGCCAGTTCACAAATAGAAGGGAATTTACGTCTGATAGCGATTTAAAAGCCTAAATTTTTAATAGGATTTTAATAAAGGGACAGATTCGGCACGGACCTACAATTTTGCCACGTGGTTCTGGTAGCTTCGCGTCTTTTGTGAACGGTGTTAAAATTAGGACCCTTTGCGAACGAGTTAAGGTACATTATTCACTGCGCATTGCTATTACACCCTCTTTCAGTACCAAAAGCATTTTGACAATAATAAAACTATCATGAAACTAGTTGAATGGCATCTTATGCATTGTATATGAAATTTTCGACTATGCCTTTGAGAAATCGTACATTTTCTTTCCTTCTTATTTAAATCCTCTTTAAAGTTTCATTATATATTAAGGTTGACAATTTAATTTTATCAGTCTTATTGACGTGGCGCCCTATTAGGTATAAGTTTAGTAATACAGATTACAGACTAAAGATAATGCTGCTTTCAAACTCAAAAATTAAAGGCTATATGAAAAGTAAACCATTTCTCATAAAAGCCTTAAACTAATTAATGTTTTTCTCTTTGTCACTCTCATCCAAGTTGTCAAATGGAAGCTGAGAATACATCCTTAAACTTAGCTCATCAATTCAAAGGTAATTCTTTCAAAAGACTAGCTTTAAAACTCGCTAGGGATCGCTTTCGGCCTCCCATTTCTCGCCAAAACAATACTTATGGTAAGATTCTGACATATGTATCTCTCCCGTATTTGACATATAGATAAGAGTCATAGTTCTCGCTAAAAACCCCTTAGACCCAAAAGACGTGTCCAACATAAGATCTTGCTTTAAAATTAATAATAATAAAACTTCATTCATGGGAGAAATATGGTTTTGACATAATTGATCTAACGCTAGTACCCACATTAGCCCCTGTGTAAAGATTAAAATTATTCCGTGGTAGGTACTTGGTAGGTACATGTTTAAAACAATTTAAAGAAAAATTTGTCTTAGTGTTGGCCTAGTGGCTTCAGCGTGCGGCTCTCATCCCTTAGGTTTGATCCCCGGCTGTGCTCCAATGGAGTTTCATTCTATGTGCGCATTTAACATTCGCTCGAACGGTGAAGGAAAACAACGTCACCGGCTTGCCCTAGACCTAAAAAGTCGACGGGGTGTCAGGCACAAGAGGCTGATCACTTGCCTATCAGATTGACAAATGATCATGAAACAGATGCAGAAATCAGACGCCCTAGAAAGGTTTATTAAATTCTTTATTAGTCTTAGTGTTACATCTAATTAAACAAAATTCGTATAATACCTTAACGCTGCAGGAGGAATTTTGATGATGCCATCTCAAGAGTTTGGTACAAGCTAAGGGATAGCGGATAAAATATATGATTACTATAAGGTTACAAGAAAGCGGTTGGGTTCGGTGACCCTGGCCGGACGTCACGCTTGAGGGAAGACGAGTGCACGACGCCGTTCGCCCTTTTCCTATTCCCGTTCTAATTACACTCAAATGAGGTAATACAACGACCACGTGCGATCCCACAATGATCGGTTGTTTCAACGTCTTCATTATCTTACCTTTGAGCTTAAAATGTATGTTCGTTATTTATCTGTAGGTACATCAGAATTCAAATTTGCAATAGATGATGATATTAATGTACCTATCCCTAATGGGAAAGGCAAAGGACTTTAGCCCATACAGCCAGGTCTTGTTCATAATTGGAGAATTTTGGTAGTTTTAAAGTCCGAAGCCACGTCTTACGTAGTTAGGAGTCCATCTTGGAAAAATTTCTCAAATTTGCAATAGATACCTATTGGACGGAGACAGTTGACGTTGACAGTTCTGTGTTGCTATTATTGTGACTTTTGTATATTCATTTATCAAATACTTATTTGCTGTGTTGTTTTAATTAGGTTAGGAGGTATCACTATTACCTGAGGTGTATTGAGGTGTTGTCAGGCTAATCAATATTTTACTTGTAGCTAAATATAAGTTTATACCTACAAAGTTTTTGTGTAATTTCTGTCAAACGCTATACCTGTTATGTCTATTGAAATGGTAAGATATTAAATCAATTGTTTCTTTCCTTTGTAAACACGCTATAAGTGAAAAACTTTTAGGAAACAGAGTAGATAATAAAGTAGAACATAAGTCTATCCAAATATTACCTACATTTGTCGTTTTTATACGTTGAATTATATCAAAAGTGATTTAATATCTCGAATTTTAAGTGGGAGACCAAGATTAGATAGACTCTGCCCTATTTGGAGATAAGGGCACCCGATTTCAACAACATATACCTAATCATTTATACCTACTTATATATTATTAAATATTGCTTCTTAAAACCCATACATTTTAAATTTATTCAAACGAATCCCCCAAAACAAATTTAACATTTTTTTATATAGCAACACTGGGGGTCCTAGAAAAAAAATTATACCTTTTATAAATTACAAAAATCATTTTCATCTCACTAATACGAAATAAAAGTAAAATTTCAAGTATTTTGAAGGATGTAATGGTTTTAACATGTGTGACAGTTGTGAGCGGTTATATTCCCCCAAACGCACTAAGTTCGCTGCGTGTGGCAACATTGGAACTGACTTTTCGCGCACTTTTTAAATATAAATATACTCAACAACTCAGCGCCTATAAGATTTAATAAAAAAATTCAACATTAAAAAATAAATTCAATTAAAAAAACACATTTTTGCACACCCCATATGTCTAACAGTATTAGCTGAAGAGAATTTGCTAAAGTATCAAGTTTTAATAATTAAATATATATTTTTATTACTTTAATTAATGTATTATTCATTATTAAAATTATTTATAGTAAAAACATATTAATAAGAATTATTTTTATATATTTTTTAGCTGAAGAAAGTTTGATAACTGAGGCAATATGCCCAATATACAATATGCCCATTCTAAATCATAAATACTATTGTATGTATTTTTTTATCATTTTAATTATAAATATATAAACTAAATATATACATTTTAATTAATAAAATTATAAATTTATAAAGAATAACCGTAAACTAAATAATTATTTTATTTATTTTAAAATGAAACAAATGTAAAGTTTAGATTATTTGTTTAGTAAAATTAATGACAGTTTATTTAAATAAAATAAATGGCGTTTTATTTGTTATTTTTTGAGGTACCTACATATTTAAATTAAATAGATATCTAGATTTAATATCCAGTCAATATAAGAAGATCTAGATATAAAAATTAACCTCTTATTGAATAAAATAAAATAATTAAATAATATACTTTTTATCTAAGAGTTTAAAATACATTCAGTGTTGCCATTTATAAAACTATTATTTTCCTTTCTATAGGTACATATAATATTTGTAGATACATGAAACATAGGTACATAGGTACTATAAAAATTATAATACACTTTTAATAGATAATTTGGTTCATTTTGTAAGTTACTTAAATATATCTGTTTTTGTATAAATATTATTGATTTTAATATAACTTTTTATGGCCATTATAAAAAATATTAAATTCATGTATGTATATGGCTTGAAGCGTGTTAAACCAATTTATTTTAGAAAAACTTAAAAAATCTGTTCAGAAGGTAGGTAGAAATGTCGTTCAATGAAACTATAAAGTTTTGGTTAGATAAAGGCTTCCAAAGTAAAGGATTTCTTCTATTTTTAGTTTAGATGATATGATTGATTACTATAATTATTATACCACAAATTAATATTACAACTTAAAAGTACCCGCATTATATACTTTCTGAGAGGATAGATTAACCATTTCTGGTAACAGTAAATCGAATTTTAAGTAACAAATATATAAATTATATAAATCTATTGCTTAAATATATAATTTAAAGTCGTATATATTTTTATTTGAATTTAGTTTGATTATAACAGCTAAATACAACTACGTGCTAACTTATGTCCGTTATCTTTTTGGGTCGATATTTTAACCATATTATTATTGTTTTTTTAATGGTCGTGTTTTTTACTAGTATTTATAGAAGTAAATTAGTGTAAATTAAACTATAAAATTTTTTCTTCGGGTGTTTAAGTTAAACAATGCGAGTTATGCTAGGCAACAATAGAAATGTGTGAAAAGCTATTGTTCAGTTTTCTGTGTTTGACATTTATTGCTTGAAAATAATCCAGATAGCATAACTTTCCCATACATAACGACCAATTTTCTGGAAAAATTGTCAAGTGTAGCTCAAGAGCACAGACCGCGCAGCGGCGACGACGAGCAAGCAATTTGCGAGGCGAGTTGTGCTTGTGTGCGTCCTTGTCGCATTCGCGCCGCGCTAGTGTGCGTTCACGTAGAGTGAAGGTCGAATATTTTGTCCCTACTCCTCGGTTTATTGGTGTTCACGAGTCGGCACTGTGATAATGAGGGTGCCCCGTCTCTCTCGCACCGCGCCGCCGGCACTTCTACCGAAAGAGATGGCTAGAAAAGTACGCGTGCGCCGGAGCCTCCGCCGGCGCCGGCGCGGCCTGCCCTCTTCAGTCTCCCCGCGACAGGGAAACAGTTCGCGCGTGTTATTTTGTGTCGGCTCGCTCCGAGACTTCCGACCGCTCGTCGCACACGAATATTTTTAGATAATACTAAGTGTGAACAATTTATTCGCAAGGTAACCAGTGATCGCGCGCACTTTTGTGGATATCGGTGTATGCGGGCGCGTCTATGGCAACTCGATGTGGCGAAGACGGCGAGCCCGTCGGCGGTAGCGCTCGGGCGAGAGCTGCCGGCGGCGGAGACGTCCCGATAGGTAAGCTGCGCAATTCCTGCGCGCGCGCCGCCATATTCTGCGGGAACGTCACTTCCGTCGGTGCCAGTGTACAGCGAGCGGGCTCCTGGACTCTCAGTGGAGCCGTTGCTGGAATCCCCGTCGACAATGCACAATATCCGCTCGTCGCTCTATCGCTTAGGTCAATGGGCGACGATTCTCAATTCATAAAATGTCGGTCGTTCCATTCACGCCGCGGCGCAATGCTCCACGGTCCGTTCACTCGTGACCCTCGCGTCTTCGAATATTCATGTCTTCATCGATAACATCGTAACCTCTTGACTTCTTTTAGTATTATCGTGCGTTTAGTGAACATCACTAGTTGAGGCCGGACTTCGGAGTGCTAAATGCGAACTGTGTCGTATTAACTGGACAGTTCAGTTCTGCGTAACCATTGCGATGTGAATAATGTGTGCAGTGTTTTTCATCAGTGAATTATTGGAATAGTACAAGACAAACCGTAAGATTAGATAATATGAATGCTTTTGAATCGGTTGCTAATTTTAAATTGCGGTAAAGACGGTTGGTGATTTAAAATTGGAGAAGCAATATTTAAATTTGGGCCGTTATTGAGATAAGGAAAAGCATGCTTGAATAGGCAAAATATATTGTAGGTACCTAGTATCGGAGTCGATAAGAATCGTTTGACATGCGTAGGCAATAAGTGGAAACAATGAGATGTGTATGGCGTTGTGGCTTGTGGCGTTATCGACAGGACGTACGTCATCGGCAGACCGTGACGTTGCGTGCGCCCGCGCACCGACGATCTAGTTCTACTTTAACATCACCCTTATGTTCATTGCCCTCAACTAACCCTCATTTCATCTTATAAAGGCATATATCAATTTATACGATCCCTTTCATTAGAAATTGTAAACTTAATAATAAGATTATATCATATATAAGAAATGGTTTAATTTAATAATCGCGGAAAAGTTTTCTATATTTTTTTGTAGCGCAGCTTCTTAATTTAATTAAAAAAATCGCTGAAGTAATAATAGGTACATTTAATATTTGATAATAAACCAAAACTCAAAGTATCTTCCTGTTAGAATATTCCAAATATTCGTCACATGACTTGTCAGAAAACATTGTTCTGTCATTAACCGCTATTAATAGTTGAAAGGTGTTTGTAAAAATTATGACTGAATATTTTTGTTGAGCGAATGAGTCAGGTCTACGTCAGAGGCAATCATTGACTCAGCTATGACGTATTGTGTGCCCCTTGCCTATCTTCGATCCGTTCACTTTGTGCCCACATGGGTTTGGGGCACTACGACGCCTACTGTGCGCCTCCGCTTCCGTTAAACTCTGCGTGGGCGCACGTTTCATAAGCATTTCCTTCGGCACTTCCTCCCATTGACGGATATGTCCTACGCGATTATTTGCAGAAATATACTAAACCAAACGAGTTTGCTAATACGCAACATTCATTAATAATATTGGTGGTATAACTGCGGCCGCTTTCCGTTTAAGAAAGCACATGTAGGTGGGTGAGACAGCGAGACGAAGCCGTTTCGCACGTCTCACTATGCCAGTTCTCAGCCCCACGATAAGCCATTAAGGGTCGCTTCACAAAAAGCGATCATTATAAAGGTTGTATAAAGAAAGACTGCACCGGCGCCGATCCTTCTCAGAACTGGGGTCATTCTTATTTCGCGCTCCCGCCTTATTCACCGGCTTTTTTGTTCGGTTTTGGTCATTTTTTTGACGGGAGCGGTACTGTTGTGAGAGCTTCGAGGAAAAAGCTTATTGGGTTTCGTATAGGAGCGGAGCTTATCTCGGGCGGCGATCGGCGCTCGGCCTGGGAACGCGTCGAGAGGTATCGCAAGCGGACCGTTAGGCGGCTAGCACGCCGCGCCGCATTCCACTCATAGGTACCTACCACCTACTTGTCATCGGCTTTCTCACTTTGTGACGTCATAGATAACGCCTTCATAATATTCTCAAGCAAAATTTATGTTCCACGTCAGATAACTGTCAACTCAAACGGACATAATACCTATTTCGTTGAATGATTAGGTAAATATTTTTAATTTATATTTTCGTTCAAGTATTTTTACGATATTTTTAAATGGAACGAAATCATTTTCTTCAAAGTTTAACTAATGAAAACCTTTTTTGTCTCATACATAATATCTATAATGAACAATAAGTGATGGTAATATTCCGCGGTTAAATTGTTGTTCTCACAGTGATACCGATGTCGTGACACTTCTCACTGATTGTCTCGACTCTTGGGAAAACATCGCGTCATATATTCCCAATCTCAATTAACGTAAAATGCTTTTAAAGATTCGTTTTGTAATTTTATTTTTCGATAATTTCAGACATAACTTCGGCGACATGACTGGCGCACATTTCAAATTTCGAACACTGGGTTGCTTCGGATGGCTTCAATTTTGAATCTGTGGTGTTGCAAAAAAAAATATGTAAGTAATATTTTATCTGTATAACTAGGATCTAAGTTAAAAAACAAAGAAATATTTGTCAATCGGCTGTACTTTGTAAGTTGTATAGTTAATTATATCGTCAAGCAGTTGTGGGTGGTATGTCGGGTCACGGGCCCTTATTTAGGGCAAGGGGAAGGTATAAACCCGCCGCGAACAATGGTGCGATAAGGTGCACTTTACAATTGCTTTTGCCCTACAACTCGCCAAAAATACCATTACAGCCTTTTGGATCGTCGTTGTAAAGTTATATAATCTATGGTTTCCTTTAGCAATTACTGCGTATCTAAAAAAACATTATACATGGACAATCATTATTTTGTCTATGTATAATGTTTTAATAGATACAATGCGGATTTCAAAATTGGAATATCAAGTCTAATTTTGAAATCCACGTGTAAGAAAAGACATCTAACATGCTTGGTGAAAATCAACAAGCGAAAATCTGTAATTTCGTAGTCAATACTGGGCATATAAACAAAGAGAAAGTCGAGGGTACCTACAATCTATTTACAGATCTAGGCATTTGGCAACACGTTAATAGGTCGCTTGACGATAGTGCGGAGCTCGAGGGGAAAAAGAGGTTGGTGTAACGCAAACCTTATCGGTCATTGACCTTCACACCTAAACTGAGCCTCCCATCTGCGCACGCTACTTACGAAATTTCAGGGACCGAAAACGTTCGTGCTATTTTGAGCTTTGATTCTTCATAAAACAATTCGTCTAGACAAATCGATGTATCAATATGTTACACAACTATTCAATATTCCGTGAGTCTAAAGAAAATTCAGCAAATTTATTTCCTAACATCGTTCAAATATATACATGTAGAAACAGCTTAATCCTGCCAATGGGAGCATGGCCCAGATAGAATAAGTCTGGACGTCAGGTAGGCGCCGTTGGAGCCTTGACCTCGTATCGCACAATGTAAATGCTCTGTTCAAACCCAAACTGTCACCTCAATTCAGTTTTCATAATACATTGTTTGTTCTAGGAATTATATATTTCAGTGGCAGCCATTATCCCACCGATATTGTTTGATTAATTTTCTTATTCTAATTATGAATATCGATCTAATTGGTATTTAGTATTGACAAGAGATAGAAATCCGTGAATGGTTTGAATCCGTCAGCTGTTTTGCTTCGCACCTTGCGCAAGTACCACAGTGAGTGCGACTAATTTCTGTGTCGCCTATTTCTACTTGTTGACTTTACCGATAATCGAAATAATCGTGACAGGCTAAAGTCGGTTATGTTGCTATGTAATTAGAGGCGACGTCGGCATGACAAGGCTAACAGAATTCGGGGGGCGGCGCGGGTCGCGGCCTGTTGAATAAAACATGCCGTGTTGCGGCGCCACTTACTGTCGCTACACTGAAACAATACAATCTAGCTTCTAGCGCAGGGTTGACAGTTGACATATTAGTTTATTTTTTGACAATACACTTACCAAACCATTCAAATCTCTCATCAATCAAAGAGCAGTGTTAGCCTAGTGGCTTCAGCGACCGACTCTCATCCCTTTAGGTTCGATCCCCGGCTGTGCACCAATGGACTTTCTTTCTATGTGCGCATTTAACATTCGCTCGAACGGTAAAGGAATATCATGAGGAAACCGGTTTGCCTTAGACGTATAAAGTCGACGGCGTGTATCAGGCACTGGAGGCTGATCTCCATCATATTGAGAAATTATCATGAAACAGATACTGAGGTTGAAGAGCCACTGTTGTTTTATGTATTCATGTTCTGATGGTAGTAGGTCACTAGATAATTATTATTTCGTGTCATTGGAATTATTACCTAAAGTAGCTTGTATATTATGTTTTTACTAACCCGCATGTCATATATTTTATAATTTTTATTCACGGATAGATGATAAAAACTAAATATAAATTAAAACTGCTAGTTTAGTAAATAGTGGACGTGATATATATAGAATTGGGGCGACCAGAATCGATTAGGTACACGGCTAATTGGTGACATAAGTTCGTTGGCTTGTGAAAGTTGGCAACCCTATCTACGCACACTTCGCGAGACTGCGCCTGCGCCGCCCTGAAAACTGTAACTGTGTCACGCGTCTTTTCCATCTGTTCGTCTACTGTTCAATATGCACAAATAATTATTATAATATGACGTTCCCAATTATTTAATTATTGAAGATATTTTTATATTTTTTAAGACGGGTTTTGTTTGATGAAGAAACAGGAAATTCCTCGCCTTGTATATCGTGTATAGCACAAACCGACCTATCTCAAATAATCATAGAATAAATCCATACTTCCAAGTTCCGACGAATAAATGAACCTCAATTTTCATTCAACGAACAGTTTTACGATGCGTTTTTATATATAAAATTAACAGGGCTAGTTGTAATAATTATATGCGGTATGATCAAATAAAAAACAAACAAAACTTCCAAGAATTCAAACATCAAACGCTGCAATTCAAAGGAATGTAAATATTTTTATTGAAAACACCGTTATGTGATACGTTTTCCTTGTAATAAGTAAAATCAGAAACGTACACAATAATGTGTAATGTATGCAAAATAATTCAGTATTATATTGCGTATTGAAATAATAGTTGTAAAGATATCTCTTTCCCTCATTTCATTTGTATGTAGACAGCGAGCGATTCTCATCCCTGAGGTCGTAGGTTCGATCCCTGGCTGTGCACCAATGACTTTCTGTCTACCTACCGTGAAGGAAATATCGTGAGGAAGACCATAAATTCGACGGTTTTTGGCACAGAAAGTTGATAACTTGCTTAGAAATCACGGACCTATTAAAACAGATACAGAAACCTGAGTACCTGACCTAAAAGGTTGTAGCGCCATTGGTATATATATATGTACATATGTATTGGTATATATATGTTCTATACAAAACTAAAAATTGTTCATTGGAGCTGTTTTTGTTGTATTTCGATATAAAGTAAATTTTGAAGTAACAGTATTAAAAATTGCTACATATTGAAAAATATCTAAATGAGATAAACCAAAATCGTAGCACAGCGTAGCAGTTTCGTAGCAAAGTTATTTCGTAGGCTCACGGGTCTTAGACACAAATTAAAAGATTCTAGTTTATTTTGTAACCTTTTATCGGGTTCGTTAGTTTAAATATTTTCATTAAAAGTGTAACATCACCTTAATTGTCACGAAAGACACGCCGAAAAGTCAAGTCAAGCGCATTAAAATGCATACCACGAGGCTATGATCATGAACCAGCAATTAGGCGCTGTTCACTCTGCCCAATACATATTAAAATTCAATATCGTGACGATTAGTGTAACCATTCACTCACATAGGAAGTATACCAGGTCTATGTTACGATTTGCGCATCCATTTACAGACTTTTTAAAGTGGTAAATTAATAATTTATAAATTTTGTCTAAGTGTACTGTTTTATAGTGTTGTTCTATCTCTTTTCATCACACTGTGAAAGAAAGCGACATAAAGAGGATAAGAGTTTTGTCTCTTAAAAAGATTTGTTTTTATGATGATTTAAAAATAAAATCATATTGCATTTGCATTTCTGTGTACTTCAAACGTTAAATGACATTAATTAAGTAATAATTAACTAAATAAGTAACAAAATTGAATTAGAAATAGAGGAAATCGTTAATTTAATATTGTAAACGTAATAATTTTCTTAAATTAACAAAACACTAAATTTAAGACGCCATTATTTCACTAAACTGTATTATCCCTTAATTGTTGCTCATTATATGAATTATAATTGAATTTGGAATTGCGATAGCATTCGGTGCGATAGTATCACGATGTATTAATTAAATCGGACCTCCTTGGGGACGGGTAACGGATGCGCGCGCGCCGGAACGACCGGAAGTGGTACTACTTACAAGTTACGGCCTCAACGGATCTCGTAACTGATAAATATACTCGCTTTACTTTTGCCCATTCTTTTAAAACGATTACTTTGTTTAAAGGTTCTATAAATAAAAATGTGTGTTATTCGTTATAGGCTTACAATTTTATAGATTTGGGAACCCTTTTAAGTAAATGGTACATGTGTTCCCAGCTCTTCCATAACTAACTTCACACAATAAATATAATATATCGTTTATTAAAACCTAAACAACAATCAAATATACGGTATTTACAATTTTCTTCACCTACATATTCATAATAAAAATAATTAAAAATTAATAAAAAGTAAAGTTTGTTCCCTGCCTCAGTGTACCTTTAACGCTGGCAGCAATTCCTCGCTGTATTGCGATACTTATTCTGGAACACTTTTATTAATTTTTGAGCTTTCGGATCTTTCTTTTCTTTAAGGATATATGTTTCGCGGTATGTACTTGCGGCTTAGTATTTATTGTTATAAATTGTGTATTTGCCACCGAATCCACCGTGAAACCAAATAAGTAAGTCTTCAAACAATTATCTCGATATATAATCTGGAGAATAGACATATATTTTGATTGGACAAATGATAGAGATTATAGAATGTTGTTATTACAGTCGCTTGAATTCTAAACGAAATTGATCATTTGATCTTGTTTAAAAACCGATGTTGCCAACGTACTCATTACGGTTTTTATTGATATGCGTTTAAGCGGTAATTATTTCTAATTAGACACTGATATATGATCATCATTTGATATTTAAACCTAAAATATGTTAATCACATACATAGCTGTAACGGTAGATGGTTTTGTATATTTAACTCGACGCCCTCACATGTGCGGGGATGTGCGTTAGGGGAGTTACATCAGTGATTATAAATAGCGAGTCCCTTAAGGCGCAGGCGCGGGTTTCCGGGCTGGAAGTGTGCCGCTTCCGCCGCGAGCGGTCGTTGACGCGTGCATTGTCGCTGCCACATTCCCCGCCGGTGTCGACGTTTTTAAATAGAGGACCGATTACGAGCGTCTGGCTGCGGCGCCGGGCATTTGACCGCGCGAAAGTGCACCGCCCGCCGCGTCACGGGCTATTTGCGACGTCGCAGCCCGGACTAGCTCCTAAAACTGGCCTAGAATCGAATACCAACCTGTATAATAGCTCTTCTGGAACGAATTCATTTCTACTTATTAAATAATAAGCAAAAATTATGAGATCTAAAACAACCTTCAAACGATTCAATATATTGCAGAGGAATCGGTAAAGAGCTCATGGATTTGACTAGGAATAGAATCGTCCGGCTATTTGTGGTCGGTGGCGCTAGAAAGCGGTGGTAGTTAGGTTCAGAAGCAGTCGGAAGCCAGCAGTCGGCAGTCGGCAGTGAGCAACGCGGTGTCGCGGCTGAATAAATTCGGAGGGAGGCGCAGTGGAATGCGCGGGGCGCGGGGCGGACGGCGTGCGACTGGCGCGCGCGCCGCTGTCCCACGGTCCCGCGCCGCCGCCCCGCACCCCAGACACTTTCTTTCGCGCCATAAAGGTCGTTTCAAATATTTCGGAATGCTGTTTGGTGACATTTCACCCAGGGCCGGAGGAATGCAGCCTCTGCAAAGCGCTGCACATCGCAACGCGCCGCAATTCGATGCACTACATAGTAGCGAGTTGCTATCGCAAGAGTTTATGTCGCTTTGATCCGCCGTTGAATTGTGGGCACCTCTCGATCCTAATCTAAGAGATTCGTGTGTGACACTGTCGGACCTACTTGCATAATTCTTATTGATATTAAATTCCCACACGGCCGTCTCAGAACGTACGATTCATGCCTATCAGATATCGGGAAATCCCCGTGTGAAAGTCGCACGCTGTCAACATAATGCGGTACTGTCGTCATGAATGAGACGATAATTTAATCTCTCAAATTAAAAAAAAAATATTCTTCCCAATGTTCGATGTGTCCGAAAGGCTTTCAATTAAATGAACAAACTTCAACATCGGTGAGCTTATTCAGTCTACTTTCCACGCTCATGTGTGAACTGAGTTTCTCCAATTAATAGATTCGTTCCAATAGCAAACAGCGAGCCAGAGAAAGCCGCGGCTGGGTCAACGTCCGGCGGAATTTACGGCAACCGAACGCCGTGAACTTTACAAAGAAATGTGGCGTAACGCTCTAAAATTTGAAAAAGTGCGCTCATTTAACCATTCTGGGAAGCATGAGGTGAAGAGCGCGGCCCGAGCTTCGAATAAGTACTAACTGGTAGTGAGGGGGTCGCGGTGCGCTGTGCGGCTATTGAGTCGCGCGCCGCTATGAATGGAATGTGGCGGAGGTTGCGCAAGCTCGCTGCGAGGCGGAATGCGGCGCGGGCGCGGGGAGAGGCGTGCGGGCGGCGGGCTGCAGCCTGCGCGCTGCATCTCGCGGCCATTCACGCCGCCGACCGCCGTGAGCGGCGAAATAACTCACCGTTAGGGCCGCGGAATGCTCGCCCTATCTAGCTCCCACCGCACCATAACACCGCCCGAGATAAACGCTGATAACATCACGCTCAGACTACTTTCCTATCTATTTGTTTACTACATACCGATGTTTAAGTATGTACTTGTAGCATTCGTATAGATATATAGCAAGTTACGCTTTTTAAATTACGTATTTCACGCCAGCAGAATATGCAGACAAAAAATATCTAATTCAAAAATAGATGCAGATTATATTTTCATTCATATTTCCACAATGATATATTACCATAGTTGACTATTCATTATTTTGAAAGTTATGATACATAATATGTCTAAATTTAAATTTGAGCAGAACAATGAACATAGTTAATTTGAAAAGCGTCTAAGCTCATTGCCCCTTTTAAAGGTAAAGCAATCTTGCAAAGCGAATTTCACGGCTCACATATTATGCTAAATGCTATTAGCATACAGACGCTTGCAAACTGAGAATAGAATTGTCAGAATAGTGTCTATACTCTATAGTTAGTTTATAGTCTATGCCTAGCGGTCGCCCGCACTATCAATAGTCGTCTCGTCACTTGCCCTACATACTTGTGTTGTCGCTTCTAGTTTCGTCATTTCACCAACTACATTCTTTTATCTACCATGGTCTCGTACCATGATCCTTTTTTATGGCTGGTTTGTACCAGTATTAAGCTATTGAAGCGTTTTTTGTCTGCGTTAGATAATCCAACTTTCATATTTCGGCCTACTTCATTATCGCGTTAATGGATTTCACAGAAAAAGTTTGAGCCATCTTTTGTCGTGTATTACCGTTATTTCTAGGATATGTCCTTTAAGAATGCTTGTATTTAGAAGGCTTGGAAATAAAATAAGTTTTGAAGGCTGTCTTGGTACTTACCTACTTAAATTTAAAGATTAGTTTTACTCGGAAGCCTTTGTAAATAGCTTACCTTTACCTTACATTGTATATAAAGTAATGATATTAAATTTAGTTTTCGATTTGAGCAATGTTAGTCCAGAGTCTATACTCTTTTGGCTTGACTACAAAATTTTCCAAAAGAGAAAAGAATATTACGACTTTCGTGATAAACCTCTTTCAGCGGTTTTAGTAAATGTCCGTAGCTACTAATCGAAATTGTTTTCGCGATAAATAACATATTTGTGCTATTTCCCATAGTTGTCAGCAATTAGAGTATTTGTGAGCGGGGCGCGGGGTAAAGTGACACGTGTGGCCCACATAGTGCGCCCATTGAGCTTGCGGATGTGACGTCACAGCCACACACCTGCATCCAGCAATGTATCACCTTTGTTTTTTAAGAAAAATGGTGAAAAAGTGATATAACACCGGATTAAGACAAACCCTATTTAGGAATACCATAAGCAGAAAATTAAAAAAAATAATAATTAACGTTGGTATTACAATAATTCTACTTCTAATAAATACTTGATTATTTGAGTCATCCAATTTTAGAGTTTCGACTGAGCATTAGCAAAACTATTCAATGTTTTCGCCGTAATATACCTAGCACAATACCTAAGCACTTTTATGGCGACATAATGCAGGTCTTCCGCCCATTACAGTGCAAGCGAATAGTCATCATTTATACAATTTCGCAACACTCAATAGTAATTTAGATTTCTAAACACGCTCCCACAATTATCTGTATGTCCAATTCTCACCAATTACTAAAGGATCCGGATAAAACATACCTTACGTTATATAAATAAGCTAAATAATTGTATCGGCGCCGCAACTCCCGCGCAACCGCCCCAACAAGGCCGGAGGCGCTTTTTCGCACCATTTGTGGCCAACAGTGCCGGCGCACTCCGCTTTGCCTAATTAGTGTGAGTTGTGGGTGAGCCCGCATAACGCGCTACGTACGCCCTGACGCCTTCGTTTATTTCTGTATTAGTCAGAATAGGGTCCTTGTCCATTCGAAACGAATTAATTATTTGAAAATGAATGTTAGATGTTTAGTATACAAAGATACCACGTGAAACACGACGTCAAAATGGTAAAACTAAAACTATGTATAAACGATAAGTCAAAATGCGTAATAATAATGGTATTGTTTGATTACAGATCGAGGATCTAGGATGCTGCGAATTGCGCCTGAGTCAGCATGATGTCATTGCTACTTAATGGGAGCGTCCCGGCTCGTCATACCCCAATCCTGCATACCAGCGAATCGAGCGATGACAAATCCATTCATATTTCTCTATTGTGCGTTGCGGTAGTGTTTGACAATTGACTTATTAGTCTTAGTTAAGCGTAAGAATTCTACGGGTATCATAAATGTATTTACTGCCTGTATATATGATAGTTTTATACATTAAGTCGTAATTAATTTAAACAAATTGAAGAATTTCAAGACTGGAGTGAGAAGAAAGAAGAAAAGGAATAACGAAACTGGTTTTCATAATGATTTGACAGATTTTAATTTCTGAGATCATTTTGAAAGCTGATTTTGTTCCTTAAAGAAAAAGACGACTTGATCAACGTTTATGAAGAATAGAAGAAGATATACCTACTACTTGAGATTTAGACATGTACTTTTGTGTGTTATATTCTAAGGTCTTATTTTGTATCTATGTGTTAATAGAGAATCTGTCACTAGGGATTTCTTTTTACTTACCAGAGACAATTTTCTTAATTTATTGTAAATATAACTTATGAAAACCATTACTTTTATTTTTAAGTTTTGTATTGTACAAAGCCAAAAACCATTTGTAGAATTAAGTTAAATATTCAAGATTAGATAAACCTAATGTATGTAAGAAATCCTTATGTGTGAACTAAATAATATTGATTAAACAAGTGAAACTATCATAAAATTTGAACGTACTACCTAGAATGTATTAAGTTTTTTTTTATCTAATTATCCTCTAAATAAAGCAAAATTGACTAAAACAATTCAGTATGTTTCATTGAATACATTTATTAATAAGTACATATATTTGTACTTAATTCTAGTTAATATTTAACTTCTCAAACGTAATTGAATTAACCAAGTCCGGATGCCACGTGGCCATCTAAGCCATGACGCCGATTAACAATTGAAACAAGCCTTTAATAAGTTGGATATGATTAAATTTAAACGATGGAATTATTGTTGTGAACAAGGATGAAAAGTGTAGTGACTTAAAAACAGTATAAATTACTAATTACTTATAATAATTATAAATTGCTTCACATCAACTATAGTCTGTGCACTGTGTAGTTATTCTATAAAGTTTAATTGTGAATTAAAATTCATGGACAACAGATACAGATTGCGCTCCGATGGATGATTATTGGATAATCTGTCTAGTGCATTTATGTGTTATCCCTGTATATATTATATCTCACATCCTTGTTGTTAAATAAATTCCTTCTAATATAATAATATTAATTATTAATAAGCCTTTATTCATCCAAATTTCATTGGACATTTAACGAAAATAGATATAAATATAATTTTACTAAGGTGCAGCCCCTGCCCGGGAGAAGACCTCTTCCAACATTTTTCACCCTATTTTACTTTTTCCATCGTCATCCATTTTTCGATTCCGTTGGCCCGTCGCTCTATTAGAATGCCCTTGTTCCCTTTTCCTTTTGGACCAGTCCATTCGGTTCCTGATTAAGACCATCCGTCATCTGTATAACGGGCAACGTGCCCTGCCCATCTCCATTTAAGTTGTAGGGCATGTTGCTCAGCATATTGATGCTGAAGAAAAACAAAATAATTGTATTTTGTTTTTCTGCGAATACATTCACTTTTCTGTTTGTCGTGTTTGTTGCGAAGTTTAATTCCGAGAATACTTCTTTCTATCGCACGCTGCACTGACACGAAGTACGAACGTATTTTGGCATTCGTTTTGTTTTTGAAAATCCAAGTTCGGCTCCATATTATGTAACTCAAGGCATCACGCACGAATCCACCACCTTTTTCTTTAGCTTAAGTGGGAGTTTACCTTTGAGAATTTCTTTTAAGCTTCATATATTCTCCTAATAAACTTATCCATTAACCTTTTTTACGTAACCAACCAGGATTAAGAAAGTGAATGGAGACGTGTGTCAATGGGACGGGGAGGTTTGTGGCCCCTGTCATGTTTAAGGAGGATTGAAAATATAAATTAAATCTCTTATTTAACTTGGTGCTAATTTATGTGGAGAAATTTAAAAAAAATACATGAATAAACTTATGGGAACTAAAGTAGCCAGTCTGTCTCTCAGTGTATTACCTACTGATGGTTTTCCTTCCTTGGCGAAAAGAGTATCAGCGTTTTTTTATGCAATAAAATAAAATCGGACTTTACTAGTTGTGCACTACATTGTTATAAACGCAAAATATCATTAATTCTATAAACTAGCCTTAACTTACACTTACTACACGATAATTGTTACCAGTGACTTGAACCAGTTAACAGTTTGCTATAATTCTTTCCAGGCGAATCTATTAACAAGAATCTTCTTTCAACATGTTTAAACATTGATAAATATTATACGAGCTCAATAATCTTAGATAAAGTATAACTTAAAGATGACAGATTTAAATAGTGCGGGAGGGTTAAGTCGGACTGTGTGTTAGTGAGTATGTCACTTAAAACTCCCTAAAACCTAAAGGCGCCACCAACAATCAAACTAGGTGGGATGCGGCAACAGCAGAGCCTTTTCCGCTTCCCGACATGCGATGCGACAGTTGCGTCCGCCTCTCCACGCCCATTGTTAGTTTGTGAAGAGACTGAAAACAGCAAGTCTCCTTCACAGACCTGGCCATTCGATCTGGTCCAGTACTTACACCCTTCCCTTCTTTTAAACCCCTGCTTCCCCGATTGGGCTTTTAAGGTGGCAAGGATATGGTGAGCGCGTCGGCATTTACGCGTAGCTCAGGTGGCTTAAGCGCCTTCTTACTCAATGTTGAAGCAGAGGTCTTAGCGCTTCAATTGTATATTGACCGGCACTCACGCCCACTCTACTAGCTTTGGTTCGTCTTCCAAGGCTCGTCACGCGTTTAATTTTTTCAGCCTGGGGTTCGCTAAGAGCAGCCGCATCGAGATGTCAGGGTGCGGTAACGGCTATAACACCACACTGCGTCATATGACACAGTGCGGTACGCTCTCGCACCCTGACCACTCGCTGCGACTGCCTGAGAATTGTTCGATTGTGCCGGGTAAGTTTGTATGCCCATATGGAGCACCCGTACAATGCTTCCGCCCGCACCGAATTTGCGTATAAGCGGCGACACCTCCCGAGTATCGAGCATGTCTAGTGAGTTTAAAGGCAAGTGCCACGAAATGTGGTGCGAAATTCAACCGCAAGTCGAGGGCCAGCCCAAGATATTTGAGCGTGGTACCAACTCGGATCAACATCATCGTTGGCGGAGTAGCGTCTTGAGATGGAGCTCTTCTGTGGCCGTAGAAGCAGATAGCTTCTACTAGATTTTTGAAGGGCTACTATGAGGCCGAGCATTATTAATTTCAGAAACCACCCGAGCTACACCTGCTTATTAAATTGTTCTGACTTCTACTACTTTAACGCAAGGAAGAGACTACAGATCCTCATTATAAAATCAAGTTGAAGTGAAGTCGTTGGCAACACAGCTGTCACGTAATACATGAAGTTTTGTATTGTGACTTTGACTTTGATACTAAGTGCAAAAAGTTTTTTTATGAGAACGATCTTGGAAAACTACACCATCAATGTAATTCAGACAGAAAAATATTTCATAACTAAAGAGTATTCATGGTCGATTGAATTAGAATGTCTATACAGGGTGGCCAAAAAGTCGTGGATCAAACGCAAAGAGGGGATAGATGAGGTCATCAGCGGCAAAAAATTGTTCTACGGGAGGTGTCTAAGGTCAACCTCTGCAGAGTTATGATTTATTTTGTTTTTTATACGAAAATTGACTTTTTTTTACTTATTCTTATTAAAATTCAAAAAAATGTACACCCTGTATCTTTTTCATAATATACACTAGATTGGTACTGATGAGTTCTTGCTCTAGACATACTATTTATAGTTGTGCATTGAGTGTATTGAAGATAATATTAAGTTATACGATATATACGATGTAAAGATACAGGTGTAGATTTTTTCGAATTTTCATAAGAATTAGTAAAAAAAAGTCAATTTTCATAAAAAACGCAGAATAAATTATAACTCTGCAGGGGTTGAGCTAAGAGACCTCCCGTAGAACAATTTTTTGCAGCTGATGGCCTCATCTATCCCCTATTTGCGTTTGTTCCACGACTTTTTGGCCACCTGTATATTATAATGTACTCTATGGTAAAGCACCGTGAAATTCCCGTTAATTATTGAGATAATAACCTGTTAACATATAATTAATTGATCTGTGCCTACTGCCTGTGTTCTGTGAACATCATGAACGTTACGTCAATCACAATCACGCTAGATTAGAAGTAATAGTGTTCTGTGATCACAAATGTAAATAGTGACATGTGCTTTTATTTTGAAATTTTAAATATTAATATTACAAAAATTTTAAGACATCCCTATAAAATATTTATTATAATCGGTGCTCTAAAATCGTTTACAAAATGGAAGCCACAGAATTTGATGCTAGTCTCGGGGGAACAGAAAATCTTCCCAACACGGCTAATAGTTTTAAATTTGCGGCATCGAGAAGTATTGAAATAACTGCAATGACTGAAAGTATATTACGACCCAACAAAACAAAGCTGATATTTCAATCATTACCCGTTCATATGCGGCGTAGAGTAATGAGCCACAACTGTAAAAGATTACCTAGAAGACTGCGCGAGGGACACATGGAACAACTAAAGAAGAGTGGACTGCCACCTAAACAAAAGCGTCCCTCGAGAAAATACAGACGTCGCCCAGCAAACCTTCTAGAGGAATACACACGAAGGCAAAGAAGAATTACATGGTTGGAAACTCATATTTGGCATGCTAAAAGATTTCATATGACTGAACGATGGGGTTATCGATTAGCTCATAGACCATGTGATAAAGCATTTAGAGCATGCTACAGAGCCACTTCAGCTCATTGTCTCCTCCAAGACATCTCCTATTTTGTACCCATATTGATTAAAGGCTCCATTGAAAGCATAGAAAATATGTTTAATTTACTTTGTAGTAAAACCTGTGGATTAGGTGTTTCAGCTAAAGCTTTTATGTCTGGAAATAGAGCTGGATCTTTTAATATGTTTAAACCACAGTCATACCCATTTGGATATATTGGTAAAGTTGAATTTCAATGGGTATATACAAATGAGATACCAGATCTTGTAATATTTGTTCATCCGTCACAAATTAAAGAAGTTGAGGCATCTTTTTCAACAATAATCCTTAGTGAAGATTCAAAACTTTTAAAAGATAGCAAAAGAATTAAATTATCACAAAACTTATCTGACATTTCTATTAATGTATTATATGGGCAATTTAATCGATTTAGGCTGACTGGACCAAAAAGTCATGCTATCCTTACTCATTCTTTGAAAACTGTTAATAATATCAAATTATCCTCAGAATGGGTTTGCAAAACTAAAAATTTTGATTTACATCTACAGGAAAAACATGAATATTGGTCAAATATTAGTAATTTGTCCTCACCATCACAGTTACCCTCAAGAATAATCATTGGTTTAATAGTTAAAGATCCTCGTTGGAGTCGGCCCAAGAAGAGAACCAAAGCAGAAGCTGCCATAACACCTACAAATATAGAAATTTTAACTAATATACCAAAATATGCATCCTCTTCACCCTTATGGCAAACAAATGTTCGAGAAATTATAAAGAAAAATGTAATCACAAATGGTAAATTCATAGAACATGTCACTAAAACACAATTAGTGCCTGGAGAAACTAATGAAGATGATCCTGCATTACAAAATATTCCTGTTGTGTTAATACAAAGACCTGGTTCACAAAATTCCACTTATAAAAAAATTGGTTAGTCAATATTGTTTTCTGAAATATTTTCTTATTACCTTTTCTAGGATATCAATTGAATATTAAGTACTTTATATTAACATTTCAGCTTTTAAAGTAAATTTTAAAGCTTACATTTTACGTGCTTGCTTTATAAATCTTAAATGTGAAATAAAATTATTATTAATGTTTTGATAGGATATGGCAGTGGATGGGACATCATATTACCTTCAGGATATGGGCTTCCATTTTGGTTAACTCTCATAATGTTTGGTGCAAGACCCGGTGGTCTGCGAGAAACTGAACACTTGTCTCATGAAAAGGGGGAGACCTATTTGTGCCCAGATTCAAAATCTGGTACATTAGAGGAAGAAAGAATTGAACTACAATTAAAAGAACATTATTTTAAGAGACCACCAAGTAAAAGAGTCAACTTTATTAAACTAGGTATTTTGAGCCCATTTCGATGTCCCTGGACGATATTATTACAAGATTGGAGTAGTTGTGCCTGTGATAATTTTTTTATTCTGAGAGAAACAAATATAATTAATGAATTACAGGTTAGTTTAACAGTTTGAAACGAAAGATTTATTCTTCAGATTTCTAAACAAATCTATATTTAGACACTTATGTCAAACAACAATAATTCACAACTTCCAAGGTGTGCAGCTAATGTTTTAATAATCACACACTTGATCAAGGTCTAATCTATCATATAACATTATTTTATTCTACACATCTCTCTCATATGCCTATTTACTTATTTTGTACATTATTTTCAGAACTGCCTTAACAAGAAAACCCCATTTATTACTTCATTTCCTAATGAAAATTCTTGTTTGGTTGCGGTTTATCTACAAACTGAAGGAAAAGGTCTTATAAAGGATCATGCTATAATATGTATGCCAAACTTTGGTGACTTTAAATCAAATAGAGTTCTGCAGGAACCACAACATGAAGATAAAAATGCTAAAATAAGGAAAGAGAAACGACTAGAACATCGGAAATTGTTGAAGAAAATAAGAAGAGCTCAGATAAAATTGAAGAAGAAGATGACTGAAGTAAGACATTTTATCTAACTTAATTCTGCATTGCATACTCTTTTGATCCTTACAAAATCCTAGGGCTTTTTTCTAGAGCAAGAAATATAATAATTTAAAAAAAAATTAATTGTTTACTTTGTTGCATTATAAGTTATAAGACAAATTAATATGTGTGCATAGATTTAGTAAATTCTATCTTCTCAACCTTTTATCAAATGAATTTGTAGTCAAAACAATTGTTTCAAATATTGAAATCTTATACATATAAATAATTAATGTGAAGATTTTTTGCACTTTTTTTTAAATCTACTTTTTCTTTTCAGAAAATTACAAAACCAAAAACGAAATCTAAGGAACCTTCAGAATATGTGAAAAGTATGAGAGATTTGTGGTTGACATCTTTTGACAGCGTAAGGCACGCATGTGTTAGACAAACTATGGGTTATGTCACTAAGGGTGCATTTAGTTTCACTGAAGCCAAAGGTTGTGCAGTAGGATATATTGCATTTAGCGCTCTTAAATATCTCATTGACAGTAAATTTAATAAGATTTTAGTAAGAAATACGACTTCAAATAAATATAGTGTAGCAAATATTCAGTTAATAAACAATATCTAAAGCTATTTTTTTAAATGTGACCTATAATTTATATAATATCTCAAACATGAATAAATTTTAAAATCCTCCGTAGTTTGTTTGGCCCTTTACATGTGAAGTGCATTGAACATACCAACCTGTTTTGATTCGAAACAATCGGAGTTACGAAGGTGGTGCAGTTATTATATATAAGGGAGCGTTCAAGTATTACGTCACGCATTTTTTGGAGATTATAGACCCCCCCGCCCCCGTGTAACGCGCCGTAACGTTTTCTGTACCCAATAGTAAAACGTTTCGTGAACACCCAGTGACTCCTTATAGCTAAAAGTTACCATAATGTGCTGTAAAGTACTGGAAAGTCGAAAATAATATTAACAATAACGCGTAATTCAATACCCGCCACGCATCGTAACGTTTTACAAAAGGACCCCCCCCCATCTCTCCCAAAATTCGTTACGTAATACTTGAACGCTCCCTAAGACAAAACAAATAATTCAGTTATTTCTTTCAAATAGTTATATATTTTATAAAATATATCATAACTATATACTACTCTATAATTTAAGTTGATACTATAAAAAAAACAATATATAAAAAACTAATGCATTTATTCATTGAAATCGTCAATTCACTAAAACCACAATCACTGTGTGATAACATTGGATAATGATTTCCAGTCTTATATAATACTTTGTTGTCTATATAAGATATGCCAATATAGACTTTCATACCACAATGGGCAAGAGAACGAGACGTTTTGTAATTAATTTGATTACAAAACAATTTTTCTTCAACGATAGATGGCGTTGTAAACAGTTTCAAGTGTATATGTTTTGGAGGGAAAAGAAATGACAACCTATAAAGTATAGATTTAATGTATTATGACATACAATTTGAAACTTTGGAAATATACTAAGATTAACAAATATCTTATTCCAAAGATCTTTACAGACAGACATAATTAAAATAATGTAATTCGCGTTAATGTTTTATTTAAATTTGTTGTATTCGTAAAGCAAAGAAAATACCAAATTACTTGCTTTAATATCACTGCGGGAATTTACAGTATATATTATCTATTAACCAACGTTTTACACCATATACCTGAAAATGCGTAAATACGACTAAAAAATTTTTTTTAGTTTCGTTAAAGTACTTTTGATTGGCTATTCTGTATTCCCACCACTTTTATGTAAACATTAGAACTATAATTTTACATTATTTAAACACGTTTAATTATCAGATTTACTTTTATTAGAAAATTGTATAATTTTTTACACTTTTTACACTCAAGTGAGTGAGATTGCATTAGTGTGCAAGCGAGAGAGTATGACTAGCGCCATTTTATTCGTTTTAAGCATTGTAACACTAACGTGAACCTAAACCCAAACAACTACATACTGTATTTCATTTACGCTTACTAAGAGCCGATTGCCATAGCTTAGCTTATTCAATTAACTCTAAGGTTCGAGTCCCGGAGTAACAAGAAAAATCAAATGAAATAATTGTGTCTATTCAATTATGAATATAATAGCATCACAATCACGTGTCATCATTGTATCGACTAACATCTATATCATAATGTTTGTAAATGCTACAAGTCGTAGATTTTTATAGAAAAAAATACGCCATCTCATTACCGACTGGTACAGGGCATGATTTAATTAATCGCCACATTATCTAATAATTAAACGTTATTTTTCCTTTAAGCCTATACGATAACCTACTCATATCATATATAAGCCACAATTAGCGCTAAGGGAGCGTTCAAGTATTACGTAACGCATTTTTTGGAGATTATTCACCCCCCATATTTAACTCGCCGTAACGTTTTTCAGTACCCAAGTACAGTAAAACGTTTCGTGACCACCTAGTGACTCTTTAGTTACTATTATGTGGTGTAAGTCGAAAAAAATATTAACAATTACGCGTAATTTAATCCCCGCTCCGCATCGTAACGTTTCACAAAAGGAAACCACAAAAGATACGTTATGTAATACTTGAACGCTCCCTAATATCTCTACCACTCGACAATCAAAATAAATGTGACTTTTACTGAATCTACACTACATTCGTTTATAAGACCCCTTAAAGATTCGAGATTTCAAGCCGAGTGAAGCTAAAACCATTTTAAACGAACCCAGAACTTTCGAGCTGAACATAAGACTGAGCTATGAAGATTATATTACTATATTTTGGATCGTTTCCTTGCGATGGCGTCTTCAACCGCTTTGAGCTGCTTGAGAAGTTCCTCTCTTCTCGACACCGACTTCTTTGCAGCTCCACCGCCGACTGGCGACGTTGCTGCGCGTTTTCTACCCGTTTCTAAAACAAATTAAATAAAAATAATAAACAAAATCAAATTAATGCACAGCTTGTTTTTTTTATTCGTTTGTTAATAATGTAGTATATATAGTAAATGAACGTTTTTTGTTAAAACTGTAGACATTTACAGCCAATTCTCGAATGGCGAGTCTCTTTTTATCAATTTGAGTTAACACTGTGATGAAAATGGACTGATTTAATTTTTATAAGGATTAAATATTTATAACGGATATTTAGTAGCTGCAAACATTACACCTTCCTTCATGTGACAGAATGAATTATGAATAGATGAATCGATTTGGCAAGCTCTAATTATCATATCAACTAGACGGTTACCTCGATGAAAGCACTCAAAATATCAATATGTAAATAAAGTAGTAAATTATATTATAATATAAATGTTATCGCCTATTTTCTTTATGATTTAATATTAAGTGAATTACAAACGTCAACACGATTCTATTTTTTTGTGGAGTTTATGCCCTGGTATCTAGACCTCTAGGCCATCAACACGATTCTATAATGATGTACAACACAGAATATCAAAACTTAAAAATATAATTGACATAAGGTAAAGGACAATTTGACATAACTTTTTGGTAAAACAGGTGTTATTAATATAGACTATACTCTATGGCATGATTTAGTTTTTACTTTTGTACATTGGACTATATATTTAAAAGTTACAATTTATCCAATATTTTATATATAAAAAACTGTATATACTATACAAATTTTCATCTACCCTCATTAATAGTTTCATAAACATATATATAAAAAAATATTTCGAATAAATTTTAAAATACCTTTTTCACTAGATGCCTCCTTTTTATTTGTGACTGTGACAGCTGCGGCTAAGCCCGTTGACTTTGCGTTCAGCCTGCAAATATAATATGAAAGAAATCTGTACTAGTTTCAAAAAGTCAAGTGTTAAATGATTAAGTGTAAAAAGTTAATAAAAACTACACATAAAACTAATAACCTCTTCTGGTGTTCCTCAAGTATTTTATAAAAGTGCTCACTTAACAGACTTGTCAACTCTGTCACCAAAATATCAAACACTTTTAGCGTTTCTAGAACTAAACAAAAACAAATAATTCGGTGGTTTAAACTGACTGACTGGGTTAGTAGTAAAATACAACCAAAAACTATTTAATTTAACGTGTAAGAATCTAGATTTAATTTGAAGTAATGGAAGCAGTTATTCTCGATCTTGGATGTCTAAACAGTTATTATTGCACGTTTTGTTTTTGATAAATTAATTTGATTGATTACACGGGTCAACATGAAATTTGACTTTGATTGCAAAGCATTAAATTTCGGTAGTTTAGGTCGTAATAAGACGGAAAAAAAAATATATGGCATGAAAAACTTTGCTTTTGCTATATTTCACGTCTCGAACTTTAATAAGTTGACCACATATAAAACAAAATGCATCAGCATCGTATTTGCACTTTCGTGACGACATTTTAAGTTATTCTGGGCTTGTAAATAACACCTGATGGTTGTTTATCACTCGGGTGCCATCTAGCGGCACAGTGTAAACGTTAATGCCGCACTCTCACCGCGCGGTCTTTTTAAAAATATTAAAATCAATTAAAATTTATGAAAAAATTGTAAAATGAGTGTTATTATTATAACTATCACAAAAGCAAACTTTATACCGAAAAAAGGTATTTTCTTTTCGTTTTTGTGTATAACTAACTGGAAAATAATAGTATAAACTTTAGGACAAAGAACGAAAATTTTTTTGTAGAGTCGTGTTATGTATTCCATCTTTGGTGATATCTCTAGTATAATTGTTTTTTTGTTATGTATAAATGTTAGCTGTAGGATTACGTATATAATCAATCAAGTATTTAATGTAATTTAATTTGTGTTTTTCTCCTCTATCAGCAGGAGACATGGTGAAATAGGAACACGCACTTACATTCTCGTGGGAACAACACGAAAACACATAGTCGAAATAATCAACATCACCGAATACACGAATTCAAGTACGACCAGTCACCACAAGCAGCACCCGTTCACGAGCATGACGCATGGCCAGCCATCGGCCCCCTCGCCATATTTCAGGGACAGAGACAACCCGACGCATGGACGCCGCCACAAACAATGACTAATGTCTTATGGAGTAAATTAAAGCTTTAATTTTATATGAAAATTGATTCATTATCTTGAGTGTTACCTTGGCCTAGCAGCGGCGTTAATCAACCTCGCGTGTCTCGCTCGTCGCGCGCCAGAACTGCCCGAAGATGACGACGAATGAGACTCACTTTCAGAATCGCTCGAAGATGTGGACGATTCTGAAAAGTTACAATATCGTCACAAATGCAGCCCTGCCCAAGTACAGAAGATAAAGGTTGTATAAAATCTTCTTGAGGCAAGAAGAAAGGTACTTGCATCTCAATTGTTTAAACTAGCCTTAATAATAGTGTATTTCTTTAACGCAGTGATACGCATGATATGTTCTAAATTGTTTTTTTGAAGTTATACTTCTTTAGGCGCGTTATGAAAAATTGATGAGAGTGAAATTTTATGATGCGCGCGCACCGTGACACAAAATTAACAGAATGAAGTTTCCCACGGAAGATGCTACGGCATTGGACATAATTTAAAAACAACATTCGAATAATAATAGAATTTATGTTACACTTAATGTAAGAGAATAATAATAAATATTTATTTAATTTTTCAAATGTAAACTGAACTTTATTGACTATAATGACTCCTTTTCCAGTCTTTGATTATTTAATTGTAATTAATTATTTGCATGCAATCAAAAACTATTTTTATTAATGCCAAAGAAGTATAACTTCTTACGCACGTACATAAGTACACGCACCCTTTTTTTAGTAAGTACACAATGTTATGTTGGCTACTTTTAAGTAAATACAGATTACTTGTGCCCAGCTCTTCCGTAACTTTTATGGAATAAATATTGTGCTAATGGTAGACTACGTGTGCGTTTATGCACGTGCGCGTGTAATGGTATAGAATAACAGCCATTAATTTCGCCACCTCTGTATAATTTAAGTTTTGCAGCCATTGGCATAATTTACTATTGAATGGCTTCTTATGAATTAATATATTACCAGAACCAGAAGATGAAGAACGGGAATATTTTTTTCTATTCCGATTGCGACTGGCCGCTTTGCCCCGATTATAGGGATCTGGTTCATCCTGAAAACATTAGCTACAATAAAGCGAAACGCGCCATTACTAAGACTTTTGTTTTAATAACCACGATTACACATTATTTAAAAAAAAAATCTAGACCTAGTGTCAAAAAATTATTGTTTCAATAAAACAATTTAAACCGGATTGAAGTTATGTATTTACAATTATTTTTCATAATTTTTCGCGTGCGTGGTCACGGTGACTCGTCGGTTAAATTTAACTTCAATCCGGTTAAAAATTGTTTTATTAAATGTGTAAAAGTTATGTCAATAAAAGACAGCACTATAATTGTTTCAATTCAATCTCATACGTTTGTACTTGTTCGATCATCCCACCCACAACACGATGTTATATATATAATAACCTTTAGTTTACTATTTACAAATTATTTTTTAAGTATTGTTTACATTCTTACCTTCCTGTTTTAATTTTTTTGAAGGAAGAAAATTTATTGAAAGCCGTTTTAAAAAAACAAAAACAAAAGTTTAACAAAATTGACTGTATTATGAGCTAAAAATATAAACATACCATAGATCCGAAGGCCTACCTTGTGTCTGTGTGAGGCTGGGGCTGGTGGGTTAGCTGCGAGTTGCCTTGCAGCGGCAGGGGAAGGAGCACGACGACGCGGGGCGGGGGGATTCATAGCCGTCGCACGCGCATTTGCCAAACGACGCTCACGTACTATTACCGATGGCGAAAGTCTGTGGGTAGGTGGGAATTTAGCGGATAATCGATAGAATCAAAAAGCAAGGTGACCTTTTATTAACAGTTTTTTTTTTCAATGGAGATTTTTGCCAATGCATTTTCGAATGACCTAACTAATTTTAGTATTTTATTAATATTTATTAGGTTTGGAGAGTCGGAGAAAATTCCGAAATAGAAGAGTTGACCTAGCCCAAAATTATAGTCGAATACAAAGTCCATCGGCTACGTTGCCTTTGGCATCTTGAGCGAATGGCCCAAGACCGATCGGACGGTGAAGGAGGCTTACCTGAGTCGGCCTAGTGGTCCGAGACCAGTAGGTCGACGTAGGTACCGCTGGATCGAGTGGAGGAGAACCTATTGCAGCTGAAAACCAGCAATTGGCACAGGACGGATGGAAGATTGTCATTAGGGGGCCAACGGAGTGAGTGTGGTTTTAAAACTCTTCTTTGGACCCAATTATATATGTACCTTAATATAATTGAATTTTTATTTCTATAATCGCATCTGGCCATACACCTAATTTGAAGAACAAGATTCAACCAAAAATAAGTCACCTTACTTTTAAAACACGTTTCATATAAGTTAGTACTTAACATAAATTACGACAGCAAACGAATCATGACCCTGACCGAGAGGATAACTAGAAATTATATTAAAACGAAAATAAATTCGGCTTTAAATACAATATATTTAAACTATCAGACGGCATGTAACGTAAGTAAAATTTCGACCAAACCTTCCTGGATTTAAATTAAAATAAATAAATTGCAAAACATACTATACGCTAACTACAATGCAACTACATGCAAGTATATTTATGAAAAGTGTAACATAGGAGAACAAACCAATAGAATAAACGTTGTTTCATTGCAACTAAAAAGAGTCAGCCAAGAAATTATGGAATAGACAGAGACAGCTGTATTTCTTACAAGACGTACTTAAACGACAACAGCAATTCTATTGGTTTCATCCCTAACACTTTTCTACTAACCTTTGTCGGGAAGACGACGAAGCCCTTCTCTTGCGACGCGTGCCAGGCGTTCCAGAACTTCGCGAGCTGGAATTAGAAGAGCTGTAGGCCCAGGGGAGGCCGCAGGGGAATGAAGGACGCACACACGCCAACATACACATATTCACACACACACACACATACACACACCAGAGTAGCAGCGAAACCCCAATGAGTGATCAAAAGCATGCAAGATAGTTTGAGAATCGTCAGTGTGATCACCGAAACACCACGATTTGTTATGAAAGCGAAACCCGGCGAAGGGGGAGGGAAGCGGGGGAGAATTTACGAATTAATAACATAAATAGAATAAAAATATGCAATTTTTATACTAGTAAAGCACTCAAAGAGCTTTGAAGTTTGGAAACCATTGAATGTGCTGCCTAATTGGACACATGGGAATTATTAAAGAAAATCCTACAAAATTTGTGTGGATAAATCAAACGGTGCATTTTTATAACGTGCACAAAGCTAAAATATGTGAACCTATTCCTTGTAATCAATAAATAATTTCTTGAGACCCTCTATCAGTTGGTAAAAATAAATTAATAATATAACATATCACTATAACTCCGAACCTAAAAAAATAAATACTACTTCAATGGATATAAAAGCAAATTAATTATAGCAAATACAAACAGAGCGGCAATAGATAATATAGCATTTTGTATTTCTGTCAAATTATTGTGTCATTATAACGTACAGTGACACATACTTTTCTTGGCCGGCGGCTGTAATTGGTACTACCGTCGCCATTTTGAAATGTCACACTGACATTCAATGTCAGTTAGCTCTCAAATACACTTAACTTTACTATCTACCAACATGTAATAAAATTATACGGTCTTACTAATAAAAAATCACTATGCATGAGTTATAACAAGGTGATAGTTATTCAGTGAATAGAGCTTGTACAGGGCATAAACACCTCTTTGACCAATAATCGATGTGTATTGGTTGAATAACTAAACGACCCTTATTTATTGTTACCCTGGCAACCCGCCGTGTTTGATTGACGTTTGACTTAATAATTCTGATAGAAGTCATAATTCTAATGTAAGTTGTATTTATTTTAGCAACCAAAACAATTATATTCAGACAAAGAGGACTAGAATTTCACATAAAAAGCCACGTTCTGCAGTACAAAAGTTGGGAGAGGTTAGTATCAATGTGATAGAGAAAAGGACTATTTCATTCAAAAGCCCTCAACGATCATACTTAAATTTTTTAGGCATCTCAAATAGTGGAAAGTGCCAAACTCCGCAACACGGCAGTGTTCCAGTGTTTGCAGGATGAGCATGAAACCAAACTAAGGCAAATGGCTGAAACACATGAGCTCAAACAGAAGCAACTTGCCGAAGCTCACAAATGGTCTAGACAGGAGCATCTTCTAAGGCTCAAACTATTACAGCAGCAATGAAATGAATAATTATATACTTATAAAAAAAATTAAACCCCTGTTTTAAATGAAATATAACTTTTTATTTATTTCACGTCTAACTATCCACACCTATGTAAATAAAACAGCTTTAAAAATATGTTTCAATAAAAGCAGCTCTAGCAGCTTGTCCAGCCTGATTGCTTGGGGGCGTCTAGGTTGGCCTTGGTTCTTCTGGAGAATTCTCAGTGTCATCATACGTAACATCCAGGTCTTCTTTCATATCAATAGCAATATTGTGGAGGATTGCCAGTGCTACTATATATAATTTGGCATTTTCTAAAGACACTGAGAAGCCATGAAGAAGACACCTAAATCGAAAACCATCCACCTCTATTACTCTTTTCGACATCAGCTCGCACTGTCACAGATCTTCATAACATACTTCTTTGAAAAGCGGTATTTTGTTTTGAAATCGCCATCCGAAAGTAATAACGGATTGCACCGAGTTTGGTATGTTTTGACTTTCCTTGGAGGCGGCAAATCTTCAATCGTATGTATTAGCTGCATATCAATGTTATCTAAATCTTCCATTTGATCTATAAAATCTATTTTCAACAAACACAAATACCTACTAACTTAAATCTTTCCTTGAACTAAACAGTCAAAAAATGCTGTCAAACGCGAAATCAGATCAAATAACGCAGTTTATGTCCTATACACCCGTTAAACTAGGCCTCGGCGTTGTATAAGCATTGTACAAGTCTTCATACAAACCAGACACTTGTTATAACAGCCGTATACATCAAACGTGTCAATTCAGGAATTATTAGTAACATTTTTCTTATAACAGGCTTATACGATGTGCATAATTCTTTATTAGTAAGACCGATAATGTATTTATTTTTATTCCATGCATTACTGATTACAATGGCAAAGTTATCGAATGGTCCTGATTGCTAGGTGCTTAAAAAGATATTGTATTATAAGTAGAATAATAAAACCTATCATATCAGTTGTTCCTAGGTTTGTGTCACATTGTTTTATTAAGACATTTCAATAAATTATTAAGTTAGCCTGCATGACTTCAAATTAATAATGGTTAATTTTTATTTACTGGCAATACTAATATCCATGCAGCGACGCAATTACCGGCCGAGAAAAAAAAGTATGTGGCACTGTAAGTATCTCTTTATGTCAATATAATATAAAGCACTCTGAACGTCAACTTATGAGAAACAATTTCATTAATTCGCGGTTATATCTATTCAAATAGTTGTATGTATAGTTGTATGTATGTCAAGAACTCGCGTAAACCAAAGACAATGAAATACTATATATTTTCCGTATCACCCGAAGACCTAGTTCATAGACACAAATAATACAAAATAATTTCTCTTGGATTTCTACACTACACTACTACTATATATTTCTACATACATTATTGAAATATATAACTGCAACTTTTACTGTTATCTTGTGTCGGAAGACTCAAACAAAGAGCTATCACGTAATATCTAATGTCACTTACGCTTCTAGAACTTATGAAAAATCTATGGATCGACCAAATAGTTTCATGTCATATTGGTAGTATAATATCATATTAAATATCTATGGATAATTAGGAAACTTGTGTAATAAGCCATGATTATTTTGTAGGGTGTTAAGGCTTCATTTTGGAATGTGGAAAATGCAATTTACTGCAGTGGTACAAATTTTAGAGATTTTTCGTCTCAGTACCGTCAAATTAGTCAAACTTAAATGTAGCTACCAAAGCTATCAAACCATTTTGACAGCACTCTAGACGAGATTTTGACTTGAGATAGACCTAGAACTGTCAGCTTTGAATTTCTTGATCGGAATTTTAAAAAAATGCTACATTAAAATGCGAGTAAAAATATTTCTAAAGTAAATGCCATACCTGGATGACGAATAGCTATCACTAGATGGCGCCCTCCGCTTTTTGGCAGCGGGCTCGGCCCTCATCCAAGGATCGGCCCACTCGTCGCCACGCCCATCCCTCTCGCGTCTCTCCCTCCCCTCCCTGCCCTCGCGCCGTTCGACCTCTGCCCGTTGGACTATCACTTCGCGCGATGCACGAACGCGACGCTGATAAAATTTAATTATTCCCTTTTTATTTTGTTTGCTTATCCGAGTAATTAACTAATTACGAAAATAAAATATGTGTATTGTTAATATTATTATTTAATTCTTAAGTAATAAAGTGTAAATAAATAAAATCAAAGAAAAAACATAAATGTTTTTATTATATAATAATATGTCACCGTAAAATTGTAAACACCTTTAGATTGTAATCTATCTCGCGAGATTGTAAACTGTCGAAAGATTGTGAACCTCAACGAACTGCTTACAATTTACCGTATTATTATTCGGTAGATTGTAATCTATCGAAGTGAAACCGTCAAATTGTGAAACGGATCGCACCTCGCGCGCTGATTGGTTGAACGGAATATGCCCCGCGCCACCATATTTGTTTGTTAATTCGTTTGTTGTCGAATGTAACTTGATTGTTTTGATGAATGTAAATTGATGTCGTGTTGAATGTAACTCACAGCTTTAGAATTAGTTATATATATATGAAATTGTTGGGAAGTAAAATTAATCTGTGATTGACCAAAGAAGTTTGAATGATAACTAAGTTAGTGTTGCAAATGAAATGAAAGAAAATTTCATTAATTTTTCAAGATAATTTTAAAATTTTCGGAATCCTACACGAATTGAAACGTGAAGTTTGACATCAATTATGTTATTAAAAAAAATATTAATATACTAACCTAACCTAATCGAATAATAATACATTTATTGGACAGCTCCGGCGCTACAGGAAATGCAGCCCCTCCGCCCTTGCGTACTAAAGCACAGGCAATTTATACAAGCCTCCGCAGCTTCGGTTTTTTTTCACAATCTTTCGACAGTTTATAATCTCGCGAGATAGATTACAATCTAACGGTGTTTACAATTTTAGGTTAACATATACATCTGTCTGTTCTTAATGTTTAAATTTACACACATTTCACAGAGAAATATTGAATAGCAGATATTTTTTCCCGATTTTCAACAATACCTTATGGTGAGAAGGATCATCAGGTGGCACCCCGTACTCCTCAAAATAGGGCGGCCGCTCAAAAGTCCGTTCACGCTCGAAGCCACGCTCTCTCTCATAGTATCGCTCACGTTCGTCAACTGGTCCACGAGGTAACCGACCACGAAATGGAGGGACACCATAACCTCCTCTGAAATATTTCTATATATATTATATGTATATTGATGCTTTTTTACCGGATTGAAGTTATGTTTTATTATAAATTTACAATTATTTTACATAATTTTAAATTTAACCGACATTCTATTTTTATAATTAAAATTTCGTTAAGAGAATTTATGAAATATTGGTATTTTATATTTTATGCAAATTATTTATTGAATCCTCATATGACGAATTGTAAATTAAAATTCCACGTGTTTTTATTATCAAAGAAATAAATTTAAAAAGTATTTCTTTCCTCAAACTCACCGATATGCCTCCGTGTCGCGTGGCGGTGGCGCCTCGTGGATCGGGGGCGGTGAGGCGCCGACGGCCGCGGCCGCGTACGCTAAGTCAGCGTCCGGGTCGTGAACTACGCCTCCAACTGATAGATGGAGCTTTTTCTCTTCGAAATCCATGTCTTGCTCTTTACGCTTGTTTGCTATACGAAGCATCTGAAATAAAGCATATATTTTTATTTTTATTTTGTTTTATAGTTGCCTAGAAGCCAGTTTTTATTTTTGTAATGACCGAAAATAGTATTACAATTACTATAAGATATTCATGTAATATAATCTCGTTGTACTACCGTCAAACAATTATCATTTACGGCGAATAAAACCCCATATACGAGGTGTGTTCAAAAAGTAACGAGAATATTTAAATTTCGCGGGTTTGGAGAGTCCGCCTGTATAATTTTTATTTAATTATGTTGGTACACATGCCCCCGAATTACGATAAAATTTTCAGCAATATTCATTGCTTACTTTTTAAGTGGCATCCGCTAACCTTAGACGTGTTTTTCGAGCTCGGCGATTTTCGTTTGTGAAAAAAAAATGGATCAAAGAATTTGTATTCAATTTTGCGTAGAAAATGAAATAAAGTGTAGTGAAGTTTGTAAAATGTTAACGAAGGCGTATTGGTGAGTCTGCTATGAGTAAGCAAGGATTTACGAGTGGTATAAGCGTTTCTAAGATGGCCGCGAAAACGTTGAAGATGACGAACAACCCGGACGCCCAAGCACATCAACAACCGATGAAAACGTGAAAAAAGTGAAAGAAATGGTTACGAACGATCGACGAATCACAATCAGAGATGTCGCTGATGATGTTGGCATATCATTCTGAGTATATTTATTAGTTAACCATTAATAACTTTGTATATTTGTATTGTATATTCAAATAAAAATAATATTATTATGTATATCTGTTTGTTGACAAATTCAGGTGAAGTCCAATCTAGGAAATGGTTCAAGTTTTAGTAAAATCGGTTCAGTTATTTTTAAGATATCCATATATTTGTTCTTTTCCGGTTGACTGTCAGTTTAATTTCTCTCAATATACCTTTTAAAGATACTATATTTTTAGCATTAAAACTCACCTCTTTAGCAGTGCGTAGACCTCTTTCCCAGGCAGACTCTGGTGGGGCAACATCCCGGGGCGTAGAGGGGAACCCACCAGCCGGAACTCCTCGAACCACCTCGAACATATTATAATTACCCTTGTCCGTCACACCAGGGTGGAGGAATCTGGGAAGGGTAAAATAAAAAATATATGACCCACTTCTGTAAACAATGCAGGATGATAGCTCCTTACTTTATAGGGTCAGTAAGAGATCAGCCGTCGGTGGCTATTTAAATAATTAATATTTATTCAAATAGAATGATTATAAGCTATGCACAATAGCCACTAAGACACAGGAAGTTTATATTCCTTATGATAAGTAATACATATATTTTGTAATACACAATTTCAATATTTGATATCAAATTTATTTTTTTAGTCATCATTGTTTCTTCTTTTATAAAAACTAACTTCTGTTCATCTGTTTATTTCTTATATAAACTAAAGAGTTACCATACCTAAAAATGAATCTATTTTTTAATATTGACATTCATGTGTACATAGTTACCAATATGAATAAATGATTTAAAAATATATGCAATACATATTAATTAATTCATTTAAATATCTACCTGCAACTAACGCCCCAAGTACAGGCTCCCCTCGAGAAGAATCTGCAGACAGGCTTAGGCTCACTTTCTTCAGGTCTCCGTTCAGCTTCATCCGAGACTTCACCCTCCTCCAATGAGGAACCACGAGAACGCTTACCTGGCTTCAATTCCTCTTCTATAAGTGGTAAAAAGAAAAAGTGAGAGTGATTAATTTTAAATCTTTTTGTAAGCAATTCGAAAAGAGACATGTGTACATATATTTTTATTTCTCTATTATTATTTAAATATTTTTTTAAATAAATCAGTGGCGCTACAATCTCTTTAGGTCTTGGCCTCAGATTTCTGATTCTGTTTCATGATAATTTTTAAATCTAATAGGCATGTAGGTGATCAGCCTCCAGTGCCTGACACACACCGTCGACTTTTTGGGTCTAAGACATGTTTTCATTACGATGTTTTCCTTCACCGTTCGAGCAAATGTTAAATGCGCATATAGAAAGAAAATCCATAGATGCACAGCCGGGGATCGAACCTACGACCTCAGGTATGAGAGTCGTACGCTGAAGCCACTAGGCCAACACTCCTCAAAAACTTTAGATACAAACAAGAATTATTTATTAACCTCGTATACTAATATTTCGTTAACGGTATTTGTGAATAGGGTCCTCTTCAGTACACAATTCAATCAATTTACATTAAATATATTTTAAAAGAGTTTTATATGTTAACTAGCAAACTCGGCCGAGCATTGCTGTGGCTAAGATTTTTGTTATATTACATACTAGTAAACTATTCAAGGGAAACGGTAGGAGATCACCAGTCATGGGGACCACTTTTTTAGTGGTTATGCCATTAAATTGTAGCTTATGTGAAACGTTGGTACTTTCAAGACAGCGCCATCTGTTAGATTTGTGACTGTCAAATAATAAACAAATAATTTGCAATAAAATAATATTGCGGGTATAAATTGAGATAATAATAATATTAATCTATCCTATCTTTTAAGTTAGATCAAACTGCACACGGTGCGCAAATTTGATTGAAATTGGTTAAGTTGTTTAGGAGTCCAGCGGACAAACAACGTGATGCGTAATTTGTATATATTAAGATGTTCTAATAATGTATAAGTAGACTATGAAGTCTTGAAATACTTATAATATTGATAATCAATAAATAACTATAATAGGAAATGCAACAAGTCAAAGCCAATATATATATGTATAGTGTGTTGTAACTTTTTATGTTATTTATTAAATACCTTTTTCAGCAGCTTGGTCATCCATATCACCATTGGATTGATCCTTGGATTTAGGCTCAACACATTCACCCTCTTCCGCTTCAAAGTCCAATTGTTCTTCCGCATCTTCTGTGTTACTAATTTTCTCTTGCGGCACCTTGAAAGACAATAAGAGTTTAGCTATTCAATTTATCTAAATTTAGAATGTATAGAAAGTGTTTATTTCTGATAAAATTTAAATTTACACATTAAATGTCAACTTATTCCAATAATATATAGGGCAGCATAAAGATTATTTAACATTCTTGTCTGATTTAACTTTTTTTAGATTCATTTCTTAAAGAGGTAATGCATATTAATTTTTTTTTTAAAGTCATACCTTATCCATTTTATGTGTTTCCTTGTCCTTTTCATACCTTGGTGAGGGTTCTCCATTTGCTATTTCCGGCTTCTTCGATTTTGGCTAAAATTTTAGTTTGATTAGTAGCCGAAATTTTTATGTAAATAAATGATTAGAAGTAATAACTCAACCGAGTCCATTGATTAATATTTTTACTTAAGAGAAAAAAAAACGTTTCTAAATTACACATAGATTAAAGAACTTTGCAAGGACTTTTAAAATATCACTTTTATGGCTTAGATTGTTAGGCCATGCAAACAATGTTAAGGCCTCAGATTGAGCCAAATTTGAGTTTATGCATACAAAACTGGTAACAATACTAGTTTAAAGACAACCATTAAAAACATCTGAAAAGGACATACATATGTGTATTTACAATATATGTAGCTACAATTTTGATATAAGATGAACATACCATGGAAAAAATTCTTTTTTCAATTTCTAAGCAAATGGATTGTGGCTCTAAAAAGAAAACATTTTGGGAAAAAGGTTTTATGTGATATTTATTTTTATCTTACCTTTGATGTCTTTTCATCAGCTGAATCTAAGTCTGACACATCAGATAAATCTTCATGGCTTATACTTTTTTCCTTGCTTTCTAGTTTATTACTAGCTTCAGATTTTCTATCCTCCTGGTCGGATTCCATTTCCCCTGAAATAATTAAGAGTTTAAGTAAACATTTCAAGAAAAACAAATACTTTTTGCAATAACAATGTTAATGCTAATATTGTTATAAAAAAATTATCCATTCAAATTCAAGAAGAATATTCTTGTCAAGACTCTTGTTGCAATTACACAAGAGTAAATTTGACACAAATTAATAATACAGTTATTAACTTAATCCCAAAGAAATGGAACATTAATATTATAGTTTAAATTAACCAAGCATAAGTTATATGAACATATTCACCATCTGAAATTTCCTCGGTATCCTTAGCATTTGTTCTTTTATTGTAAGTAGAACTTCTACTTGACTGGCTAGATTCTGATTGGCTTCTCTCCCTTGGCACTGAAACCATTTTCTGTTCTGCCTTTGTGTGTCTTCTCCATTTATCTTTATTTTCCCATTCATTATTGCTAACTACTGGTCTTTGAGGTGATAATGAAGTCCTATCTGGTGAAGGTGACGAAGAACGAGGCTGTGATTCATTATTTCTAGATGTTGCTTGAGAGGCAGAATCAGGTGAAACTGGTTGGGACCTTGTGACTGATTTTGCAGAACTACTGCTTTGAGGTGTTTTAGGCCCTGATGAATATTGTTCTGGGCGTTCTGGAGAATCTATATTTGAGCCTACATCACTTGGTGATTTTGGAGCATCGGGAGATTTTGGTCCAGCTGGAGAAGCCGGGGCTGAGTTTTCGGGAGAATTTATGTCTGAATGTGCTCCACTCAGGTTATCTGGTGTTTGTGGTTTATTACTAAGTGACCTTTCAGGAGATGGAGACCTGCTGTTGGGAGATGGAGAACGAGGCTCGCAATTTTTAGATGGAGTTGGTGAATGTGGAGGTGATTTGGTATCTCTTTTAGAACTCCCTGATGATGAACTTCTCCTGCTTCGACTCTTGGAACTTGAACTACTACTGCTTGAGGTTGATTGTGTATCACCAGCATCTCTAGAATCTTCTGAATCCATGCCTGAAAGATAAATTATGAAGGAAGATTTGAACTAATACTCCACTATTTTGACCCATCCTAACCAAGCACAACTTAAATACTGTGTAGAATACTGGTAAGTAAATTAAAGCAAAAGTAAAAAAAAAACTTTGAAACAAAATTAGTGTAAATTGTGTTTAAGTGAGCTTCATGGATTAGTTGTTGCTGAATTTTCTGTACAGTAACGCAAGTACTTCTGAAAAAACACTGTTATGACCAAGAGTTCACTTTATTGTAGTTTACTAGGTCTGATGTATGTAGACACATCTAGCCTTACCTTAGAGTGGACGCCTCGACGCCAGTTTCGGTGGCACTTTACACTTTTCATTTTTACGACTTTTTAACTTTTTATTCACAACACAAAACGAAACTCAGGTCTGTCACATACATTCGTGAAAACTTTTAACTTTCTAGTAAACGATAACTGACGAAAACTTATTGAAATCAACACTACTTCAACATGGCTGTGATACAGGAGGAAATATATAATAACATAATAAATAATCACTTTTTATAACTTCCGATATGATAGCTTACGCCCTTACCTTAACTTAGGAAGAATAGGCGAAAAATTCTTGAGGTTAATAAAGGAAATTATAATTTAAAATCTTCAATTTGCGTCGATCGCCTTTTCTCATAGCTTCGCAGCAATCAACTACATAGATTATAGAAGAGTATAGCCTATTATTAAAATATAGATAATAAAGTTCTATACGCACCGTTAATGTAACACAGATCAATAGCGGTAAACCACAGGCCAAACCAACTTTTATAAAACGTATTTTCATTACAAATTGATATTTCCTGTATTGATTGATTTTGTTTAATAAATTTTGATAAAAAAAATGGATTCCTTAACTTAGGCGCAACGCATTTCATTTTCTTAGGCGCTATTCGGTACCTGTGTAATTAACTACTAACTAGTAACTATCATAGACAGATACTAGGCCATAAACTCCAAAAAAAAACTATCATAGACAGTATGGTCGAAGAAATATAGCCTGCCCTCTGGGCTAATTTTAAAAAAATACGTCACTTTTTAGGCGGGAAACTGAACGCTGCAAATTTGAAGAGAAAACATTTTTAGTTAAATATTGATATCATTGAAATTGGAGTTGTAAGTTTCTGAAAAATAATATTTATAAATACCTGTCCAATAACTTACTAAAATAAATTTAAATTAAGTACTTAATCGCCTTCCGATTAGTAATATGATGGATCAAGCTCTTGATGAGAATATTTCCGAAAACGATGAAGAAGAAAGTTTTTTCCAAGATGTAGATATATTACAAAAACATGGAATTAATGTAGCCGATATTAAAAAACTGAAAGGTGCGGGAATTTGTACTATAAAAGGTATTCAAATGTCAACAAAGAAAAAATTGTCAAATATAAAAGGGTTTTCGGATACGAAAGTAGAAAAAATAAAGGAAGCATGTCTCAAAGTAGTTAGCCTCGGGTTTATGACAGCACTGGAAGTTAGTGATAGACGAAAACAAGTGTTTAAAATAAGCACTGGCAGCAGTGACCTTGAGTAAGAAACGTCAGTTATATCATATACAATATTTATTTATTATAATTGTAAAGTAACTCTTTTCCTCTTCAACTCCTATTAATATTATTATTGAATTTTTACTGTTTTAGCAAACTACTTGCGGGTGGCATAGAGTCGATGGCTATAACAGAAGTATTTGGTGAATTTAGAACTGGTAAAACACAATTGTCACATACACTTTGTGTAACCACGCAAATTCCTAATGGTAGCTATTGTGGTGGGAAGGTCATGTTTCTTGATACAGAGCATACCTTGTATCCTTTTGAAAAAAATAAAATAAAGAATCTCTATAAGTAATCTTTATAAGTTTGAAACATGCTTATCAAATTTATAACGCTAGCTTCAACTCCTTTATTCCAGAAATGATTCCTCCAGGGATTTGATGACTAAAACGATTCTTTCTTTTAATTAATTAGATTAGTGTGTCATATTAACAACATATTTCTTGAATAAAGAAACAGCCGCCCAGACAGGTTAAGGCCGATAGCAGATAGATTTAATTTAGATCAAAATGGCGTATTGGATAATGTTTTGTATGCAAGAGCTTATACTTCGGAACATCAGGTAATTTCTAGCTGAATATTAATTTTGCAAGGTGGCAAATTTAAATGCTAGTAATTTATATTGTAATAAAAATAGAAAATACTAGTTATTGGAGACAGCATCTCTTTGTTACTGTAATTTTTTATTTAGGATGTAAAAATAATTCATACTTGTAAATAAAAAAGTAACAACCCTATACACAATTGCTAATACATAAATAACTACTACGATAAAACTATAAATGTCGTATTTGAATACGCCTGTTCATAAGATTAGCTAAGTTAATTGTCGCAGGCGGAATTACTAGATTTTGTTGCCGCGAAATTTCACGAAGAGGCGGGAGTTTTCAAACTCCTCATTATCGACTCTATAATGGCCCTATTTAGGGTTGATTTCTCTGGGCGTGGAGAACTAGCGGATCGACAACAGAAGTTGGCACAAGTTCTTTCTAGATTACAGAAGGTGTGTTAAATATGTTAATAAGTAGTTACTGATTTAACTATTAAGTTTTTGTACCACAACATTACAATATTCGATAACGGATTGTGAGAAAACTTTATTGAAATTGCACAGTCAGCCTAGTAGCTAGGCCGTGGAACAATGGAGTTTTTCCTATACATAATTCATACTCATGTCAAGAAAATCATTGTTAGGAAAACTAAACGTCCAAGAAGCAAAAATACAATTCTATTAAGCAGAGAAGACCTATAAAGTAGTCTAGTAGGAGTAGTATATTACCAGGTGTCATAAAAACAACGTGATTATTACCATTTCGACGTTCGAAGATACAAGTTTATATTCATTAAGTTTTAACTTATGAGTAGTGGTATGAATTTTATCACTTTGGGTCGTAGACAGCAATGTTTTATCAGCCAAGCGCGTGTTAATAATAGATAATAGGATCCGGGTACATATTGCCTCCCAATTTAAGAAACCGGATATGATAATTTAAGAAAAATAAATCGCCATAAATCAACGTACGGTGGTTAGACATTTTTGAAGTGAATTAATTCATTTCTTATTCAATAATTAAAATAAATTAGTTTTTTATAAACGTTTTAAATTTTTATAATAACTATTATTACTCATTCAGATATCTGAAGAATACAACGTAGCGGTATTTATTACAAATCAGATGACTTCAGATCCTGGGGCTACTTTATCCTTTCAGGCAGATCCCAAAAAGCCTATTGGGGGTAACATTTTAGCCCATGCATCTACTACAAGAATATCCCTACGAAAAGGTCGAGGTGAGAATCGTATCGCAAAAATATACGATTCTCCAGATTTGCCTGAGAGCGAAGCAACGTTCTCTATTACGAGTGGAGGGGTCGCGGATGCTAAAGATTAGACAAGTTCTGTGTGTCATTTTCTTCAATAAAAGCTTTATAATAAAGCCGGAAAAGTCTTGGATACAGAAAGACTTATTTACTTATAAATTCTCTGCACGGATTGAATAATCAGTATTAATTAGTTGAACATATCAGCATCGCATGTTAACAATTGTATTTTTAAACTTGTTTTAATACATATAAAACTAATGTCCTTTCATTTTATTAATTTTAGTTAAATTGACGATTCAATGTTCTATATTCGATCTTACTCTATATACGTTTTTTCGTAGATTGTAAACGATAATCAGGGCCGCGCCGACCCCCGGCAGCGCCTGTGTGCGAAACCCATGAAGCGCCTCCTTTTTCTATAGGGGTCAAACGAGCCTTAGGGACGGAAAAAAATGGCAGTCATTGAATCTCATAGACATTTTTAGCGGGTGTGTTGCAGGCCTTTGAGGGAACTCCTTCTATATTTCGGCCTATTTTTTAAGAATCTTCAAGTTTCAATGTATTTTTTAATTTTGACTGAAAGAAAATTTTTCTTTAGTTTAATCCACTTAAATAGGTAAAACGTCCGCTGGCCAATTGCCGTGAAAAATAAAACGTGAATTAAATTGTTACATAGTTTATTTATGATGTTATTTTTATCTAACCGTTTTTAAGGTCAGATTTATGACATATCTTTGTAATAAATCCCATCTTTTAGTAGAGGACGAAAAATATTTATATAGTTCTTGCACAATATTAAAAAACGCAGTCGTGTATGAGATGTGCAGCGTCATTTATTATTAAATTTCAACTATGGCTGGCGCACGGACATAAAAAGTGCGGAGATTTACTCGTACATCCCGCAATATTCTTACCGCGCATATTTGAGCCATTATCATAGCCTTGCCCCCTTAAGTTCTTTATGTCCAAATTAATTTCGTTTAGTTTTTCTATTATAAATGACGTTACTCCAGCGCCAGTTGTATCTACGATTGAGCAGAAAGTGCTATTATAAATTGGAAAGCTAGGAAATGCTCTCTTATTCTTAACTTTCTAGTTTACATGTTAAAGTTGACAAATCTTATTATCATACTAATTTGCTCTTCGTGTGAAACGTCAGTAGTACAATCCAGTATTATTGAAAAATATTTATTAATTCGACATAAATTTAAAATAAAATGTTGAATTTGGTTACCGAGTATAAAAAATAGTTCATTTTGGATTTTATCAAGGTATGTCGGCATATTATTGAAATCATAAGACATAAACACACTCAAAAAACTCACGGCGGTCACCAGCGGCCTTTCTTTTGATTCGCTAAGCTCTGAGTAATTAATGTAAACTAAAACCTAAAGCGTAAAATGAAACTTCAAACGTACGTAAGAATATTGTAGTGTAGTATAAATAATTTCGGTGGCGGCGCCCTTATTGTATCAGCGCCTGTGTGCACCGCACACTTCGCACACATGGGCGGCGCGGCCCTGACGATAATTAATTGCTTGTAGAGTGAGTGATTCAGCGCAGTCAGAGATAACATTTTAACCCTATAAAGAATTCCAAATCAAGGCACACGTTGCGTCAAAGTCCGTTGAGAATCGCCTTCTCGTCATAGTGGCGTGACACTATTGAGCCAATTGTGTCCATGAGGCGTGGGTTAGTGATTAGATAAACAGCTACACACAAAGTCAATTTAATTGAATTGAAATAAGTTATTTTTAGATACAAAGTAGAAGTTAAAAAAAGAAACCATAATTTGATCTAACTAATCAAAACTAATAGAAAAACATTCAATATTTTTCCGTTTTCATTAATTTTTCGCGCTTAAAATTTAAAAGTATGCTGAAATGATTTATATTTCTTTAGTTAAAGCCTTAGTATAAAGTCAATTGTCAAATTGTTTTGTAAATCGAATTTGACAATTTGTCAGTTCCTGAGTGAATTTACGGGTGTATACAAGTCAGTGTTGTAAATTTAACGCAAATAATATATCGTACTTAATTCTCACATTATAATAATCTTATATACAAAATTAAAAAAATAATTGTCCTGGTGTATACACCATCACTATATCAAAATAATATAATGGGTGAAAATAATGAAAAGAAGAAAATACGTGTTTGGTGTGATGGGTGGTAAGTCAAATTTTTTGCGTTTCTCTATATTGATTAATTAATTATTTCTGGCACAAGAAAAAAATATTTAAACTATTATATTGATAGATGCGGTAAAGCTTTTTGGAAATAAGATATATATCTAAGTTTTTTTAATAAATTGTCGGCGAACTATTGTGCCGACTAGGCATTGACTCGGAAATTTGTTTTCACATAAATATATCGTGTTTAAAAACTATTTAATCTAGATGTAGGTATAACTTTCATAATATAGAACAAAATTTAATTTTATTAATTACCTTTACAAATCTAATATGTTATTATTGGTTATACTTATATAGCCTAAAACTATTTTCAAGGTACATAAAAACTTATAAGAAAACATATTAAAATATGATTATACTTCTATTATTATAATTTATTTAAAAATTGTTTATAATTTCAGCTATGACATGGTACATTTTGGTCATGCTAATTCTCTCCGCCAAGCTAAAGCTTTAGGAGACGTCTTGATTGTGGGTGTTCACACTGATGAAGAAATATCCAAACATAAAGGCCCACCAGTGTTTACACAGGAAGAACGGTACAAAATGGTTCGGGCAATTAAATGGGTTGATCAAGTGGTGGAGGGTGCACCCTATGTCACAACGCTAGAGACCTTAGATAAATACCAATGTGACTTTTGTGTTCATGGAGGTATGGGTTTAATTACCTATATAGTTTTTACTGATTTTATACATATTTAATATTTTTATAAAATTAGAACCTTTTAATCATATTGAGTCATTTAAATTTAGATTGAATTATTGTATTAAATTTAAGTATTCTGTATTCCAGATGATATTACAGTTACAGCCGAAGGCATAGATACATATCACTTAGTCAAAACTGCGGGTAAATATAGGTAAATATTTTTTTTATGTACATAATAGACTAATCCTATATAAACTTTAAAAAATAATTTTGTCTTATAGGGAAGTATCAAGAACAGCTGGTGTTTCTACAACAGATCTTGTTGGACGAATGTTATTACTTACAAGAGAACATTTCAAGTAAGACTAATTCTGTTTATACCTATATTCTGTTACGAATTTATAAACTTCTTTTAATTATTGTCAGTCACATCTTCAAATACAATTGTCTTCATATTATTTGGTCAGCAATGGACTTAATGCATACTAAAACCTAAGCTAATACCCATTGTTTACCTGCAAAAATAACAAAAACTTTTATAGTGGTAAGAAAACTTTTATGGCTGCACTTATTATATTCTGTCATATTTTAAATGATGTTTTTCTTTCCGGTGACTTATTCTCTGGCCTCTTTGATTTGAATATTTTTTAGTCTCAGTATTCAAGTTAAATGTTCTACAGTGATGGCAATACTCATGGAAATCCTAACTTTTCTACTTGTTAACAACTTCATAAAACATATTTTACAATTATTTGGTTACTTAAGCAATATTAAAAACACCATACTTCTTTCTAATAATAATATCCAATGGTCTATATTATTTTTCTTAATGAAAGTTGATCATTATTTTCTTTGATAAGTACTATTATCACAAATCATTAATCTTGGAGTATTTTATCAATGCAAACGTAATTAATATCTATAGCTAATCACTGGTTCGGCTTTTATTGGAAAACGCATGACGCCAAAAGATTAACGATTCGTATTCGCACATTTTTATGGCATGTGTAAGTTTGTAGCCAGTCGTAAAAATATATTTATGTTTTCGAGATAATTTATTTGCATAAAAAAATAGCATTTGCATTATAAAAAGAAAATATAACTATTTTTTTTAAAGATTTAATATAAGTTACTAATTTTTTTATCGTGAGTCGTTCTTCCTTAAAAACCGGAAGTCAAAATAACGGATATTGCAGGACTTGCTTTTAAGAAATCCTATTGCTCGTTTACTCCTTAATATTCCTGATTTTAAATAAAAACCTTTCTAATTGGTTTTCTGGCAGATATTGCACCAAGTGAACTCTATTTATCTAAAAAAGTACAAAAAACAACCGTCATCAATCATTTTAAAAATCATCAACAAATAATACTGCGTTTTATATGCCTTTTTAATTATGCTTCACAAATATTTCGAAAATGTTACAAAATACTCGTAAATTATTTGAGTTTTTCAATTACAATTTCGTTTACGATTAGAACAGAATATACTTTACACTGTTTAGGCCCGAACAAAGTTCGTATTCATAATTTAATTCTTAATTTGTTTGATGAATATATTGGTAATTAATATACTCAGGGGTGATGTAGCATTCCCAAAGGCCAATTAGGGTAGACTCACAGACGTTAAGTCCGACACCTGTGGCGGGTAAGCGTACGCTTACTAAGCGTAAACGTCAGCTCCTTAAAAAAGAACATTATATTAAATTATTTATAGAATCCAGTAAGTATAAATGTTAACTCTAAACACTTCATAATTTGCAGTCTATTATAGTTTACGCGTAATTTCATAGTACTATTGATAACGAAGTGTGGTTATATAATACGGTAATAATGTTTGCAACGATGTACCTATTTCCATTCATAATTATTCTATTGTATTTTTTTTACATCTATATATAAAGCGGATGTTCATATTATTATTTGTGATTTAGAATTAGTGGCTTAAGCGTGTAACTTGAGGGCTTGCGTTCAAGTCCCGGGATTACATTAAACGATTTTCCTATCTGCGTATTTAACACATGCTCGTATGGCGTAAATTTTCGAAATGTGTCAGACACATGTCTGTACTGAAGCCAACATAATATAGTAATTATACTAATGTTAATGAATAAAACGTTATCGAAAAATACGTATCTAAACAAAATAAAAAGAGAACGGTGTAACCTTTGACATTGTTTAAAACACGATAACTAAATTAATTACTAAAAGTAGCTATTTGATTTATTTTTTAAATATTTACCCAGAATCGTAAAAGCGATAATCGTAAACTCGATTAAATAGTGCATCTAACACTCACGGTGAAGGAATACATCGTGAGGAAGCCGGCGTGTAGTAGAAATTATCATTGGTTAGACAGAAGAGTCACCTAATTGTCTATGAAATAAAAATGATCAAAGAAACGGATACAATCTAGCCAAGACCCATATAGGGTTGTAGCGCCACTGGATTATTATTATTTTTCATAAACTCTATTAAGCTGTTTTGTTCGACGAGTTTTTACTCGTTTTAAAATAGTAAAAAGGATAAAAAATATTAAACTCTAGTCGACGCTATCGATGCTTATCGGTGTTTCCTCGGTGTTGCCAACATTAAAATATATTAATTGGTCAACTCAACAGTTTCCAACCTATTGAATTTTTTGTCTTGTCACAACAAATATTTAACAACGAGTTTCTTATAAGACCTCCGATGTAGCAGTCAATGTTCAAGAAATTATATGTGAACATTACTTAACTAATTTAAGTTATGTACGTTTATTGATACGACCATTATATTATTTTGATAGTTCCTTTACGGTACGGCGACTAATCTTAATACTTTCAGACAAATAATAGTATTTATTATCTTCTAGGAGAGGTGACAAAGAGTACACGGTCGCACTAGATCATTCCTCGAATCTCGGCACAGACAGCACAGCAAGGTCACCGTATACAGGCTGTTCACAATTCTTACCGACTACACAAAAAATCATACAATTTAGCAGCGGGTTGTCACCTAAGCCAACTGACAAGGTAAGACTTTTCGTACATAATATGCTATTTACTGTATGTTATGGTATTTAAATGATATGCTGTTGAGGATGACAGGTTAACGCTAAATCCGCTGGCATGTAAAGTCTTGAGCGTGTTACTCACATCCCTGAGGTTGTAGGTTCGAAACCGGGATGTGCAATGGTCTTTTTTTCTAGATGAGAAGGTTACACTCGTACGGTGAAGGAAAACATCGTGAGGAAACCGGCATGCCTTAGACCCAAAAATTTACGGCGTGTGTCAAAAGAAGGCTGATGTTCACATGCCTATTAAGAAATGATTACGACACAGATAAAGAAATATCAGGCCAAGGATAGAAGTACAGCTATTTTTTTAGAATTGAAGAAATCCTTGCAACTAACAGTGTATCTTCGTAACTTAGGTACATATATTTAATTAATAACACGTAATCTTTAGTCTACGCACTACACGTCGAGTTTTGTAAATAATTCTATAAAATAGTTTTTATATCCGTTTGAACGTTTTCATATTAATATATTTACTAAACGTTTTTATATTTATATTAATACTTTTGAGTCGTAGTTTTTCATACAAAAAATTTGATAAAAAAAGGCGAAATATGTAAAGCTATTAGTGGCAAGAGACCGTTTAGATATATAATAAACAAATTCTGAAAACCGTGAACACCTTGGTAGACGTGAATTCGTCATGCATGAACACCAAAATCATGGACTTTGACTATTATTTAGAAATAAACAATATATTTTGTAATACGTTCTTATGTATCAAAAATAAAGGAATCACTTCGTGGCTTAGTGTCAACTGTATTTAATAATTTAAAACTACAGCTTATAAGTAACATAAAATTTGTAGTAGGGGGTTGTGACGCGGACAAAAAAAAACTGTAACTTGAGATATTTATGGGTTCTGAAAACTAAGAACGAATATGTTGTCATACTGTACGGGCTCTGTAACGAGAATGTTATACAGTTCCCTCTCGATAATATCTCGATACTCGATAAATTGAATAAAATAATTGTTAATTGAAGTCTGAACTCTATAATTGAAGTGTTTATCAAGTACAGCCGTATCAATTGTTTTTTTTAATTCGTAGGATAATGATAGACTGTGTAGTCGCTCACTCTAAAACAGATTACGGACTGCTTTTCGAAATAAAAATGTGTGTATAATTGTAAATACATTTTTATTATTTTTATACACAATTGTTATTTTGAAATTTATCTCTGGTCCCTTGAGTTTCTAATTATCGAGAATCAAATCGTAAACAAAATATTGTAAACCTATTTTAAAAGAGTAAGTGTGGAGTTTCTTGCCCATTCTTCTCCACACGAAACTACCTTTTGGAAGGGGCAACTAGAAACTTCTTTATATTTTATTTGACGTTCAAAGGTGCCATTTTAGGTGGTCTAATTGAAATAAATGACTTTGACTTTGAATGTATAACAATATATTTATGGATGTATGTTTTTTATTTTATACTAACCCTGCCACGCTTCGCAGTGGCACATTGTCATTGAATGGTTGAGAATTGAGAAATAATACAAAGAATACATTTCATATAAGTTTAATTTTGCAATACTTGTGGAACAAAAATGATAGAAAAAAAAGATAAAAACAATCCTTGATGCGGATGATATATCATGCTAAAATTTCAGCTCGGTATCGGTGCACTCACTTCAATGTTGTTTTTTTAATATAATTCTTTGAATACGCGTGCAAAGTATCTTCTTTGAGGTTTATAATGACTAAAATATATGTATGTAGTACGTATAATGAGAGTGAAAATTTACTTATGCAGTAAATCTCTCGAAATGTTATGTTAAAAATAAATTCCTGCGGAAAAGATTTATTCATTACATTATCAACAATCCGTTGAATTCGACGAAATATCTACAAATAAAAGAATGCGCGTTATTTTGTCAAGTCATACGACGATGTATGAGCAGTCTTGGGCCAATGGTTTCAGCGTGCGATTCTTGTTTCGGAGGGCGTAGGTTCGAACACCGACTGTCCATCTATGACTATGGACTAATGGACTAACTATAATGGACTTTCTGTCTATTTGCGCATCATTCACTCGTGCTGTGAAGGAAAACATCGTAAGGAAACCGGTATTCCTTAGACCTAAAAAGTCGACGGTGTGTTACAGGCACATAAGGCTGATCATCTACTTCATCATCACGAAACAGATACAGAAATTTTTGGCGTCTGGCCTTAAAAGGTTGTAGCGCCACTGTTTTTTTATACGATGATGAATCCATAACTGAATTATTAATCGAAATTTTCTAGTTGTTCATTATTTAATATTTGAAGATAATATTTGTTAAACTAAACATTTTAGGTGAGACTTTTCCTGTTTCTCATTTAACCTTCATATTATTTAGTAATTGTAGTGCTCCGTAATTATATAAATAAAAATAACCTTGAACCTCGGTTCGTAAAAACTAATAACGTTCCGAACAAGTAAAATCAGAGGTTAGTTTTAATTTTCGTTTAATTTTAATACACAAGATTTATTTATTAAATTAAATTTTGATGTTTTTTTTACATTTAATTCAGATTCAGTTTGTTTCCACGCGATCGAAAGTCGCGCGAGCAATGCTTATTTTAAATTACGATTAGGGATCAAATGTCACTTGTGAAACTCATGCGCACGATGATACTAAGTAATATATAGATACTAATCAACTTTTTTTAAAGTGTTATACCTTCGGTCAGATAATAAATCTTTCACATCGCGGTTGTAGATGACTGCTGGAAGATTGCTTTAAATTATATTTTCTTTACCTTTGCTTATCTTATTTTGCGTATTTTTATACACATTTTCTAGATTAATGTTATCAATTAATCCATATTGATACGTGCGTACGATAAATAACGTGTATGTTTATTTATTAGACTTCCTAAATCTATAACAATGGCTATACAATTTTGAGTTACCTTGGGACAGAGAAATATAGAACACCAACCTGATCGGTCTTGGGCAGCTCTTCTGACTTCTCTGAAGGTCATTCCAGCTTCTTTCTCTACAATGCATAATAGCCAGAATACGCGTCACACCAGTTATGAAAAAATAATAAATCATTGACGTTATAACCTTTTCAAGTCTGGGCCTCAGATTTTTGTATTTTTTTCATGATCATTTGTAAATCTAATAGGCAAGTAGGTGATCAGTCTCCTGTGCTTGACACACGCTGTCGAGCACGCAAGTCGGTTTCCTCACGATGTTTGCCGTCGACGTTCGAGTGAATGTTAAATGCACACATGGAAAATAAGTCCATTGGTGCACAGCCATGGATCGAACCTATTTCCTCAGAGATGAGAGTCGCACTCTGAATCTACTAGACCACTGCTCATTTTGCTGCTGGATTTTTATACTAACATAGTTCAAAATTGCATTTTATTTATATTATATCGCATAGTAAAAGTAAAAGTGAACAAGGACGTTTGCTGATAGTGCTGGAATTGTATACAAATTGCAGTATCTATTATAAGGATATCCTTAAATAATAATATGTAGATTTTCATGGCAAGATTATTGATAGCGCTAAGTGTGATTTGAGCAGTATTGCCTAGTGGCTTCAGCGTGCGACTCTTATCCCTGAGGTCGGAGGTTCGATCCCTGGCTGTGCAGTGTGCACCAATGGACTTTCTTTCTATGTGCGCATTTAACATTCGCTCGTACGGTGAAGGAAAACATCGTAAGGAAACCGACATGTCTTAGACCCAAAAAGTCGACGGCGTGTGTCAGGCACAAAAGGCTGATCACCTACTTGCCAATAATATTTAAAAAAGATCATGAAACAGCTTCAGAAATCTGAGGCCCGGACCTAAATGGGTTGTAGCGCCACTGATTTTTTTTATATTGTATTTACAAGTAGACAATTATCAATTATTTCAGTTGCACCGTTATTAATCTTTTTTTTTATAGAGTTATGAATTTGAGTTATGTATGAATTTATTAGTGGTCTAATAATTAAAATATAATTTCAGGTGGTATACGTAGCAGGTGCCTTCGATCTATTCCACGTGGGTCATTTAGATTTCTTAGAGGCGGCGCACGCGCAGGGTGACTTCCTGATTGTCGGCCTTCACACTGACCTTGAGGTGAACCGCTACAAAGGATCCAATTATCCCATTATGAATCTCCACGAACGTGTCTTGTCTGTACTCGCCTGTAAGGTAAATTTGTTATTGAATTGTTTTAAAATATGTTTTTAAACAATGCTTATTGTCATTGACTGTATCATGTTCAAAGTCGAATTTTAATAAAAATTAGTGGATTCTTCATTTTTTTTATTTAAATTTTATTTAATAATTTTTAAAATGGATACAGCTGTACTTAGAACGTCGCATTCATATGTTTAAAACTGTTATTCAGAATGTTTAATATACATATGTATGTACATAAAAACATTTTATTTTTGGTTTATAATTAAACTACAATGAAAATGACGCCAGCTGTGATGCGGGTCTATAGAAAGGGGCATTCCTCTTTTGACCTTTAAAATATTTTATAGTAAGATGCGATTGTTGTTACGTTCTTTTATTTTTTAATAATATAAATGAAATAAAATTACTATATATGTACTCAATTAATTTAATTAGATGATCTATTAAAACGTCGACGATTAGTGCCATCATCAACAGGTCGTATATTTGTATTTTATTTATCATGGAAACAATATATGTGTGTGGAAACAATGTATGTCATTGTTTGTTTACGGTATATTAACAATAGAATTGTAATGTTTATAACTGATAAATTTTTCAGTTGATTCAAATTAGATGCCACTAAATTATTAAAAGATTTTGTTAAAATAAAAAAGTCCTAAATAATTAAATTGATTGAATTATATTTGTAGATTCCAATGAAAGAAACATACAAAGATATATATATTTACGATAAAATAAATATTAAGTCCATAGATTAATTTAAATCTGTTTAGAAATTATGTTCTACATTTTTGTTATCTGCTGTCTGTGGTAGTTTATGATTTCTTTTAGAAATACAGTACAAAAACACCATAATTAAAATAATACTGAAATTTACAATACATATAAATAAAGAGTCGCTAACTGAAATCATAGTGGGGTCGATTAATTTCTAATAATTGAAACCCGCTAAAGAACATTGGATCAAAATAAAGTTTATATGAACTATTATTAAATTTTCCAGTATGTCCATGAGGTGGTTATAGGCGCACCATACAGTGTGACAGCCGAGCTCATGGAACACTTCAACGTGGATGTTGTATGTCACGGCGCTACGCCTATCGCATTGGACGCGGACGGCTCAGATCCCTATACAGTGCCTAAACAGCGGGGGTGTTTCAAGGTAACATATTAGTTCCAGTATTCTTTAGTAAATTTACTTCGAATGAATATAACATAGTGTTAAGTAAAATATAGTGTTTGGTCTACACGAGTACTACAAATTTATATAAAACTTTGACGTATTTAAACGCGAATATATTTCATTAGTGTAGAATAGCGAAGGACAGATAAAAATTTAGAGGACTGACAAACTGATTAGTTGTCTAAATAAAAAAAATCTCTAGACTAAGTACAGAATAGAGGTATATTTATTATATATATTATTAGTGCTGACCACATTTGCACCATTGCTGCGTCATGTAGCGAAAAGAAAAGTTTTGTTAAAGTATATACTTTTTTCTATGTATAACCAACTACATTACCAAAGACAACTGGTTTCAATCACGTAATGTATGATATTCGCAAAATCTGTATATAAATCATACACGCAAAATCTGTATATAAATCATACACGCACGTGTTTGTAATTAAAAAAAAAAAGAAAATCAGTGGCGCTACGACCTCATTAGGTCTGGGCCTCAGATTTCTGAATCCGTTTCATGATCATTTTTAAAACTAATAGGCAAGTAGGTGATCAGCCTCCAGTGCCTGACACACGCCGTCCACTTTTTGGGTCTGAGACATGTCGGTTTCCTCACGATCTTTTCCTTCACCGTTCGAGCGAATGTTAAATGCGCACATAGAAAGAAATCCATTGGTGCACAGCCGGGAATCGAATCTACGACCTCAGGGATGAGAGTCGCACGCTGAAGGCACTAGGCCAACACTGCTCGTTTTTAATTAAGCTCCTCTTAAACCGGCTGAACCGCTATTGGTGTTTTTTTTATTCAAAAGTGTTCAAGTGGATGGTTTAGATTTACAATTAGATGTCAGGTTCGCTAGTTGATAATAAGAATCTGCGCACTAAGATTTTTTATTAAAATATTTGACGTTAGTTAGCGTTTATTACTTTTCAACTCATGGTAACCGTAGCTGACTCATTTCTCGTATTTGAAATCAATAACTGAAGTAATAATCATTTATTATATTTTATTGTGATTTGTGTTATCTGCCGGCGTCAGTAATATTCTCAGTAAATTTATTAAATAATTTGCAGATTTTGAACTCTGGCAACACAATGACAACAGAAGATATAGTGCAAAGAATAATTCGTCATCGGCTTGAATTTGAAGAAAGGAACACAAAAAAAGAGCAAAAAGAAATGGCTGTACTAAAAGCAGCAGCAAAGAAACAACTAAATGGCGACTGTAAGACAGCTAAAACAGTAGTATAAATTCAGTAATATGCATAATTAAATGTTGAATTTCAATAGAAATATTATAAAAAGAATTCGTAGATGTTGGTTACAATACTTATCATAGCAAGATTTATACTGCTTTGAGTGCTCGTTTTGAAATGGCGTCTTTATTACCTATGTTTAGGCCCATTTTACAGTGCACAAAGGGTGTTAATCTTGCTTTCAAGCTTATAGTATCCTCATACCTTACGTCAATATTACGTCAAACTTGACATCTGACAGATGTCTACTCGAATAGATATTTTAAGTAAAATTTTAGTTAAAACATTAAAAATCATTCCATTTTTTTTAATTTGTCTCAGACTTGTCTTTTTGCATTTAATAGTAATTTAATTTTTGTTTTTTTTTTGCAGCTCTCTCTGTCTTTTTAAGTCATGTATTTGATCAATTCTCAATGTGATTTATTTATTATGAGGCATACTAGGTATATCTCCAGATTTACAAAGAAAATATTATATGTATAATGCAAAAAGAGAAAATATACTGAAAGGATCATAAAAGATACGAAAGTCATTTAAAATTAGTGATACAATGTTATCGCCAGGCTATTGAATAATCTTTAGTTAATGATAAAAACGGCTAAATTATGAATTATGATATATGACTTCTATGAGCTACAAAATAATTACAATTATGAACTTCAAGACATACAGAAATGAGAGTTAGCTCTTAGTCTGACATCTGTTTGTACGTATTGGATTTTGACATATGTGAGTTATTGTTCGCCCTAACTCTCGTTTCGAAATCTTACCCTTCATACCTAAATATTATGTTTTTATAATAGAAAAATCAATCAGTTTTATTCTTGGTTTGTAGGAAAAATATATTTTATTAAAATAGATAAGTCATCCAAATTATTTACTTAAAATGAATATAAAAAAATAAATTTTATTGGGGGTACTATGTTTTTAATTACCAATTAAGTGGTAAGACCACATGCCAGTTATCACCAAATATTAATATAGTAAATTTAGTTTATGCATTTTAAATTTTATTACTCTGTCGTACATTATTTTGTAAATATGTTTTTGTTATATTTTTAATATTGTAAAAATTGGTATATAACAATTAGATAAAGCTGATAGTTATCATGTCTATAATACTTGGTGCAGTCACCTTTTTAATGTTATTTATATTTACATAGATTATTCAATTAAATTATCTCACAGAAATCTATATTTTTATTTCCCTCTAGCTACACAAATGGAGGTGTCCCATCCTTATTAAGATAGAGGCTACTATAAACCCAAAAGTAAAGGGTTTGACTCATAATCATTTATTTATCAAATAAAATGAACAATTTTTTGTAGATTCTAAAAAAATATAAAATGCAAAGTTCGGAAACTCGAAATTTGATAGATTTTTTCTCGAAGTCTATTGCGGAGTCCCCAGCTACGTCCTGCTCGTCTGATTCTTAGTAGTCTAAATAAACACGTAAGTAATGCTATAATTGGCTACCATATACTATCTGAATTTCTTTTTTTTTCTTTTTACCCTTAGTTTTCATACCGCTTCCGTGATTTTGTAAGACTTGTGGATAATCTCTATTAACGCAGATAAATAAAAGGTTTTAGGACTACTGTGGCAGACTCTAAACTGACAAAACCGATCTGTCATTGTCAACCGTCAGAGCAGAAAAGACAACATCTCAAAATGGCAGAAAAATGAAGTAAATAACTACATAACGCATACTTACTCAAGATTTTATATTCTTTTTAATACAGTGTGTGACGTGGTGTAATAGAATTAAAACAAAATTGGACACTGTGCAGCATATTTCAGCGTGAAAGAGGATTAATAACAACATTTATCGAGTTACAGGTATGTCTTTATATTTTGCAAGGCAGCCGCCCATCACATTCAATCTGTCTGAATTTATCAAAATATTTTTGAACTTCGTGTATATATCGACAGTATCTGGTTTTATTATAGTAAAATAATGATTAATAAAGCATACTAAATGTTAAATTTCACCGGTTTTCTTCTTGAAATATTCCTTTCACTAGTTTAACTGCAATGTGTAACTGGACACTACGCATCAGCAGTGAAGTTATAAATATCTCTTCGATTAATCCGTTTAATTTAAATGTCCAAAGTTTAATCTAAGACCCATCCAAGACAAAATACGAAAACACAACAATATCGCACTTGCTTGTTTTTTTAAATACCGGCATTTTTATTAAAATTATCCTGTAGGTATGTATATTCTCATAATTATATTACACATTCTGATATTTATCATTTTAAATATGAAATAAAGAAGGTATAATTAAAAGATGTTGGTTTTTGTTAAAGGTTAAAGAAAAAAATTATCCTATAAATATATTATCTGGCTTGCTTAATTTTATTAATAAAAAAATACTTCGCAGCCAACATAATTTACAATATATTTTAATAAACATCCATCTATAGAACCTCTTCACCTTGTACCTTGTGTGGAAGCCATACTGTATTGCATATCTTTAAAATTAAATAAGGCTTATGTCTGATAATCATTATAATATACATATCTAAAACAAAGACAACTTGTATAAGTATGGTGTGTACTACTAACCTTAAACATTAATCATAATTATGTATGCTTTACTGATAAAGATGTGATTGTATGATTAATAGACACCTATTCCATTAAGAGGATATTGATAAACAATAAATTTACTGTTAAATTTTTAACATTTAAATAAAATAAATTTCCTAAGAACTAATAATTATTATCTGTCACTGATACTGATCAAACAGCACATATATCTGTACTGATTAAACTTCAGAGATATATTGTTATTGATATTTAGAAGTCATATTTAGCTCTAAGTGTCACCTCTGGATGCGTCTTGTATGACTAGATGCATCCTCATATCTTAACTTATTAAAAACCAATTCAAATTAACAAAAATCCACGTCAAATTTAATCCCATATGTGACCCACTTTTAAGTAATTATATAGTTACTCATAAAGCTCTTTAAAAAAGTTGGTGGTTCTCATGGACGGGTCTCCATTTTTACATTTGTCAATCTATCTACAGAAATTTGCGTTGCAATTGACTCCATTTATGAAATAACAGTTTTATATAAAAGTATTTATTGAATTAATTGGTTGTCTTGTTAGTGGATGCCAAAAAGTAAAATTGGCCAATCAAAAAAGTGATGGCCCTGAAGGTGAGATGAAGTTATTAAGCCATAGATCCACATCAACTGTCAAGTCTCTCTTTTTGCACTTTGGGTATCAATGATATAGAATGTGAAAAATATAAAAACACTTGTCAAGATTTATATAGAGATAAATTCTTGAAAATCTTTTCTTTGCAATATGGAATGAAAACACTGTTAAGTTTTACATTGAGTAAGTGTAGTCAAATAGAGTAATACCCATGTGGGTAGGGTATATTTATTGTGGTTTATAATAGCTTATGGAAATTTTGCTAGGCTTACAAAGTTAAAAATATAATTTATACAAAAACAAGGTTTTAAAACAACATTAACCAAAGGTTAAAAGCTTTTGGTTCTTATAGTTTTTGGGTGAAGGTCATAACTTTAAAATGATCATAATGATTCTTTTTAATACATAAACCATGTTGAACAGGGTATTCTAATCAAGAGTCTTGTTTTATTGGACTAGTTAGATCATAAAATTATCATTTACATTATCAATGGAGACGAGACCAGATATTTTCCTTATATATTTTTGGAAAGAAACAATCACAATTGATATAGCTTTATTGCCCTTATGGAAAGAGTTTATGTTGATTGCATTTAATAGAAAAAAGTAGGTTATAAGTTTTTATGGCACTCCAGTTGTCAGTAAGGTTAAGTAAGAGATTGTTGAAACCGAGAACAATCATCCATATTGATCTTAGGGTAAGACACAGATTTGACACTTAGTGCAAATAAGGTTCTGTATCCTGTAAGTCAAAATACATGACAATAAGCCGAACACCGGAGCTTTTCACGCAACTTATACACCTCAACAATCAGACTTTGCAACGTGTCTCGATAATACGATATCTAGGCACATTAATGGATGAAAAGGGTGACCATAGCATCGGAATCCGCTGTAGAATTAAACAAGTGTGGAACCCCTTTTCTAAACTAAAAAAAAGTATTTTGTGACAAGCGCCTAAATTTACAGCTTAGAACGCGCTTTGCGCGATGTTACGTCTCTTCTGTGCTGCTCTACAGCGTAGAATCTTGGACGCTGACAGAGACATGTCCAAAAAACTGGAAGCGTTTGAGATCTGGGTTTATCGGTGGCTTAAAATGTCTTAGACAGACTGCATACGATATACTACCGTGCTGTACAGAATGCAGAAGAACAAAGAAGTGCTTATGACGGTTAGGAAAAGGAAACTTAAGTGTTTCGGACACGTTTTACGTAACACCAAAATAGACGAGCTCCTTCAACTAATCATACAAGGCAAAGTGGCAGATAGAAGGAGACCTGGCCGCAGACGCACGTCTTGGTTATAAAACCTTAGACATCGGTTTGGTTGAAAAACCAAGTCATTGTTTAGATGCGCGGCATTCAAAATTAAACTAGCCATGATGATCGCCAACCTTCGCAAGAAGATGGCACTATAAGAACACTATTATCCTGTATGTCAAAATGCAATCATTTTTATATATATGTTAACGTAAAATTGTAAAAACCGTTAGATTGTAATCTATCTCGCGAGATTATAAACTGTCGAAAGATTGTGAACCTCAGCGTACTGCTTACAATTTAACGTATTATTATTCGGTAGATTGTAATCTGTCGAAGTGAAACCGTCAAATTGTGAAACGGCCATTTTCTACTTTTCTATTGGTTATAAGTGATGTGACATTCTCGTTTTCTATTGGTTATAAGTGATGTGACATTCTCGGTAAATTAATAGGATCGATTGATTGAACATAATCGAATGGATTATTTCCTCATTTGTTAATTTTAAATTTAAACTTAATTTAACCATTACTTGTCAAATGTACATATATTACATTAACTTCATGTTTCAATTAGTGTAGGGTTCTACTAATTGAAACATGAAGTTAATGTAATGGTTAAATTAGGTCTAAATTTAAAATTAACAAATGAGGAAATAATCGATTCGATTAGGTTCAACTTTAAAATTAACAAATGAGGAAATAATCGATTCGATTAATTTACCGAGAATGTCACATCACTTATAACCAATCGAAAACGAGAATGTCACATCTCTTATAACCAATAGAAAAGTAGGAAATGGCCGTTTCACAATTTGACGGTTTCACTTCGATAGATTACAATCTACCGAATAATAATACGTTAAATTGTAAGCAGTACGTTGAGTTCACAATCTTTCGACAGTTTACAATCTCGCGAGATAGATTACAATCTAACGGTGTTTACAATTTTACGGTGACATATATATTTATAAGAGTCATGCTGCGTCTCGACTCTTAATATTAGCCACACATCCGGCTGGTGGCAAAAAGAATCCAGAGTACAACATAAAAAACGAGCAATCTTTTTCTCATGCAAATGCAAATAATATTGTATTTACATGAAAGACTTTGTTTGTGCTTCAGCCTTATATGAAAGTGAAATAAATTAATGCTTGCATACATTTTAATGACCATTATTACACTACACATTTCACTATGGGTTGAATTATGTACTAATTAAAACTAAGGAAACAATTATTATTAAATTGGTTTTTAGTGTTTCTATCATAATTTACCATTATCTCCCGGTTCAGTTATCCTACCAGATAAAAAACTGATTGTAACCTTTCCAATCATTGTTTACAATCATTTAAAAATACTATAATTACAATTTGCTTATTATGCTGGGTTTCACGAATAATATTCTATCATTTGGTTTAAACCCCACCACTAAAATTATGATTTTAAAAAGAAATTTAGTGCGTATAAGCGAGGTAGGACACGTAGAAAAGCCTAAGATGCGCGGGCGCCGCTACCGAGCGTTGCAGTTGGAGGTATGAGTCACGCCCGCCCAAAATAACCGGGCATGGGCGCCGCCTACCGGCCGGGGCGGGCGGATTGTTCAGGCTCAGTGGCTACCGAGCCGCTTGTGGAGCGGTCGCCCTGCGTTCCTCGCACTGTGAATGGTGGTCAGGGCGGCGCGGGATGCGCGGCCATGCCGGTACCAGACCGCCAACTCGGCGACGAGTTCGCACCCCCGGAGCCCAAGCGCTGCAGGCACTGCGACGGTAAAGCCATACAGCCTATTACTGAGGGTGGGATTCATAGACGTCAACTTTAAACTGTCCGTATGACGGTTTCAAATTGTAGTCTGTCTTTGAATCTTAGCCTCTGAAATTTGAAAGCTTTTCACTCACGCCGCGTTTCCACGTGTCCAGTGTTGTTGATGACGATACATTTATCTCATTAATACTTCATCGCAAAGTTGGTGTGTTGTAAAATTTATTGTAACGATAAATTTTTATGAGATTTTATTATATGTGTTGATAAAAATTATTAAAAACTTAGTTGAATTATTATAAAAAATTCAGTTAAGATAATATTTAGGTATTATGTGTGTTCATAATTATTTATATTGTTGCAATTTATCATAGATTTTTGATCAAAATGAATTTAACTAAACTTTAAAATTCTAACTAACCTTTGTATAATTTTATGTTAACATTTTGAGCCGGGTTGCAATTGATACCAGAAATCTGAAATATATAAAATTGTTCTAGTGAGAGCGGAAAACTTGAGAGTAGGCATACCTTAACTTAAACTTAACAAAACGTAAAAATAAAAATAAGAGAAAACTTCGGATCCCAATAGTTTTTATCATTAAAATTTTAAACAACTTAAATTCTTATCAACGTCTGCACATTCGTTCTACTCAAAATGTCTAATTAATTTTTGTTATTTCTAACAATTCTATCAGTGAGTTTAATTAATAGCTGTATAAACATTTGCAGGAAATAAAATTCAACAATTGGTCTACAAATTTTAACAACGGCTCAAATGCTTTTTCTCATAGCTGTAATGTTTATTTCTTAATTACTGTTGCGGTAATTTTTAACGGTTCCACCTTAATTAGGCGCTTCAAAATATGTAGATAATTTAATTGCATTCTAGTTGCCACTTGCCAACTCTGAATTAAATTATATTCTTGGATGCTTTTGAACTATGGTTTTTATATCGCAGTCGAAATAATTTGGCGGAAAGTATCGGCGTGATAGTGATATAAATAATATAAGTAATGTAATTACGATATAAAAATCAAAGCTGATCCGGCGAACATCGTATCGTCTAAGAGTCTATGAATGTCGTGTTACAGAATAGCTAAACAATTTTTAAAAGTAATACAAAAGAAATTAAGTTCACTACAATATTAAGAAAATAACACAAAAAGAATTAAGCGTCTAAACGCACGCATAGATATAAAACCGTCGTAAAAATATATGTGTCGTTGCCTTTTTAATTGTTTACATTATTCTACATATTAAAATCTAATCGCCATTATCCTAATAATATGGATATTTATTGTCCATTCGAAACCTTGAAAATAAAATGAAAATCGGTCTAGAGTTATAAACGTTTGATCAAACTACTACTACTTTGTTGTATATATTAAGATTTATAGAATATTTTTCTAAATTTATTGAATTAAGTCTGTCTTATGTGTCGTTTTTGATATAATTTACATGGCTGAAGTACGCATTGTGTTTCCATATGCAAAAACATGGTTAGCTAGTTGTAGTACGTAGATTAGTCAGCTAAAGGTGTGTTGTGATGTGATGCAATGTTGTGGCAGGTGGAAGCGTCACGCACACCAATGCCAAGAGTGTTATTGTTGATTACGATGACCCAGACACCGTTATCATGTTATTAATTAACCCTTCAATACAGTTTGTTCCCTTATAACGCTAACCTCGTACCAATATATTTCGTCCTTACAACTCTCCACACACCTCACTCTTATTACTTGTGATACTAAAATAAAAATAAAATAAAATATGTTTATTATGGAACATAAGATACATGTATCACTTATTCCACGTCATTAAAAACGAATTTGTAGGCATCCCTACTCATCGGCAAAGAAGACAGAGGGTGTAGGCCGAGAGAAAAAGCCGGCGTAAAAAACTCTCGGTACTCTTTTAAAATAGCAAATCATCAAACAACACTCATTTTAAAACAAATATCGCAAATTAATTAGAAGTAGCCTCTCTAGCACTAGTCCCAGGCCCTTTTATCAACTAGATAATCGTTAACTTTATAGTAAGCCTTTTTACAGAGCTTTTCTTTAATACATTTCTTAAATTTATTAAAAGGCATAGATAAAAGAGAAGATAAGACTAGATAAGTAAGTCGAATTTATTTGTATATTTCAATATCCTTGACAAGGTTTTTTCCTTGCTATTTCAACTTTCTAACCCATTCTTAGCATAATTATTGTGTTAAACTGTTGTTAAACTGGCCGAGCCGTGTCCTGGCTCTGCACTAATGGATTTTTCTTTCTGTATGCACTGTATTATAAATCTTTTCAAATATCAACTGTCACAGAAGATGTCACGTGCTTGCTTAAAAAAAACCACAGAAATATTTTTGCCCTATCATTTGGCGGGGTTACAGAATTTAATATAATAAAAATCTTAAAAGAAACACTTAAAATTTTAGACAAAAAATGAACAAAATGTCATGATGTTATTTTGTATTAAATTAAATCTATATTTGTACAATTAAGGATAATGAATGGGATTCCCTCAATATTAAAACTAATAATATAAATGGTATAATTTTATTGTAAATAAAGATAAACAAATATTTCAGCTGTTTGCTCAATAACGTAGATAATAGATATCCATTAAAAAGTAAGAGCAAAATAATAAAGTTTAATAAATTGAATAATAAAGTTTATTTAATTTTCGGTTTCAATTAGTTTTGTAGTTTAGGCGTAAGGTATGTGTTTAAATTTAGATGAGACAAACAGATTTCTGCGTATACTTTAATCTTTGCGACCCAGAATGTGTGGCCAACACAACACAAGTGACTGCTACCGCTCCCTATCCTACTTCCTGCCAATTGCTGGCTTGCAGGTCCTCCTCCACTCTGTCGATCCAGCGATACTGATCTGCGCTACCCTCAGGGTGCCCTTGCCATATGGACTTTGTATTCGCCTATAATATCTCCCATGTCCCTCTCTAAGACAAATGATACCCTTCTGTACGTACTAACCTAACATTTTTTTTTGTAACCAGTACCTATGGGTATGCCAAATGTGTAAGCGACCCAGAATGCTAAACTAGATGAGCAGTATTGTAGGGCGTACCAATTCATTTCAAGCACGTGTTTTACAACTAAACTTTTTATGTTAACAATGTTTTTGGCCTTAACGGTCTAAAGAATAATGAATATTTCGTAACTGACGTGTTTTGTCCGAACGTAAATAGGCCGTGACTAGGACTCGCGCCTTTGATGACGGCCCTAGTATAAAATTTGAATTTCCATCTGAGAAAATGAATCTATTTATGCACTGAGCGTTGGCGTATGGGTAGGTAATTCTGTCGCACATAAGAACGGAATGTTTGTTTGAGGAATCGCTAACAAACTCGTTATTATTCTCGGAACCACACGTATATTGTGTAATTAAAATCGTTTTGAGGAAATCCGATCAATGTATGTGTTTTGATAATGGTAGTACATCTCTTTGTTATTGATGTGTTTATAGATTGTAGTCTTTGACAATATTGTCTTGTCTTTTGACAACCGATGTGCTTTAAGAAGTTTTATTTATACGTCTATAAAAATTTATATCGTATTGTCCAGGAGCACAACAGTTTATGTGGCAGTTAAATATACGCAGTTTGTCGATAATAGAATTTTGGCACTCACTATCTCCGGTTGTGTAAGTATGGTGAACACTTGTTGAGCTCACATTCTTGGGTAAATAAGGTATTTGTTTATCTCTCGTAGATCTTGAATACTAAGTGCTACGTGATTTACAACTGAAGCTATTAAAATTGAAGGCAAAAGTTGTTAATTGTGGATCGGTTTTGACATTGATTTATTAGCTTGATTTACAATGTCATATTCGTAATATTTATGTTATAATCGGATTAATTATGAATTGAGGAAAGTTTATTTTGAATGAATATAAAATAACACATTAAATTTACTTATTTCAATTTAAAATTAAGCAACATTTCGTTATTTATGGTTATTCCTATTTGTTGATGTAGCTTAAACAACAGGAGCAAGAAGCTTGAAATTGCTTGGAGCTTGGTATGATATAAACGCGAGCAAAAGTTATATAGCTTTTCTTTTCTTTTATTTATTAAAGTAAATATGATATGATAATGCATATTGTATAACTTACAATCTTTCTATTCTAAAATATATGACATGATTACGGTGAACATAAAATTTACAAAATTATAAAAATTACATTTCCAAAAAAGATACAACATGTAAGTAGGTACATATTTTAGTTTTTACTTAGTAATATCTTATCTACAGATACTTATTCGCCAAATGTGGATTAGGTACCTGATTCAGCAACATTGTTAAGCAGAAAAACATTTTTTTTAATTTATCAGCCCACTACCGAATATATCAAGCTCTAAATAAGTGATGTTCGTTCTGTTGTATTTGAAAATAATTATTTTCTTCAACTGTTTTCTTACATATATCGTATGTAAATTTTGTCCATGGTTTATATAAATTGTTTTTTTTGCCTTTGTTGTGGTAAACCTCTTAGCAGACATTTGCCTATTCTTCACTCCTATATACAGTCAAACCTGGATAAGTGAGAAGTCAAAGGACGCGATCTCATTTTCTTATTAACCCGAGTTTCTAGCTTACAGAGTTACATAGGGGGGTCTGTCTCACATATAGAGGTTTATAAAACTATAGAAAACAATAGCAGACGCACATTTGGTTTGAATTGACGGCTCATTGGTCTAGTGGTTAGTACCCCTGACTGCGAATCCATGGGTCCCGGGTTCGATCCCCGGCTGAGACAAACGTCGATGTGATGAGCATTTGGTGTTGTGCTTAGGTCTTGGGTGTTTAAATATGTATTTATATGGCTATCTATCTATAATATGTATGTATATCCGTTGCCTAGTACCCATAACACAAGCTTGACCAGCTTAGCATGGGACTAGGTCAATTGGTGTGAATTGTGCAATCATAAAAAAAAAAAAAAAAATTGTCCCTCAAAATTTAAGAGTGAGTAATAAATAGCAAAAGTTAAAAGCGTTTAACTGTCGCTTATAGAGGTGTGTCAATCTCACTTATAGA